ATTAGTATTAATTGACAGACGAGTAAAGTAGACTATCTTCTACAAGAAAAAAAAAAATACCTTATTTTAAATGTTATTATATCAGTTATTAACAATTTTTGACAGTCGTGCACTTGTTACAATTGTCCCCACTTACGGGGTCAATTGTAACAGTTCATAAATTCAACTAAAACGTAGTTAATTGTACATATTATCATAGTTGTGATAGATATTTTTTATTGATCAAAATAGTAGTGATATTTTGGGAGTAAAAATAATAATGAGCAGAGACCTAAAGGGTTAAACTTTTAACTTTAAGGGGTTAAAAAATTTAATTTATGCTGTGAAAGGTGACAAATAAAATAATGCACATGCAACATAATATAAATGATATAGAAAACTATTGGGGGTCCTTAAAGAGTTAAGTAATGGTTTGTAAACATAAGATTATTTATTTTCAGCTGTTACAATCGTCCCTTTACTTATTGTTACAATCGTCCCCAAGACGCCATTTCATCTTCATTTGTTTAAAACAATGCTAGTTAATTAACAAAACTAATATTTTTTTTTAAAAATATTACTTAAGGTGTCCACTTACATATTCGGTTAATAATTTTTATTTGTTTAAACAAAATTACTTTGTTACAATATAATATTCTAATACCAAAAAAAGTACTTAGGTAGCATGAAAATATCTTTTGTGATGTAACTCTTTCAAAAGTACATAAAAATGGTTGCCAGCAGGGGTGTACATGTAGATTTATTAAATACACTTTGTGCGACACCTGGGAACCACATATAGAACCCGACACTCGAAATTTTTGCTCTGTTACAATTGTACCCTGTTACAATTGACACCACTCTCCCCTACTCTTAGAAAGAAAATGAAAATTATATTACGGGTATCCTTAAAGAGAGAGCGTCTTGCAGGGAATTTTTATTTTTATGATACAAAATTTATTGAATTGAGTGAAAAAGAGCTTAAGAATATGTTTCACTGAATCGTATCGAATGATAGAATTTAGTGAATAATGACTGAAATAAATTTTTATTAACATTCAAATTAATCTTTGAAAATAAGTTAAATTATTAAAATACTCTTAAATATGAAAATGAAAATAATATTACGGTTAATCTTTAAGAGAGATTTATTTGCTAGAGATATGTTATTTTTATGATGCTAAATTTATTGAAGTGAGAGAAAAAGCAGCTTAAGAGTACGTTTCCAGTAATTGTATTGGATAACAGAATAATGTAAAACGTGTCGGAAATAAATTTTTATTAACATTTTGCATTTAAATTAATCTTTGAAAATTAGTCAACTTATAAGAGTACTCTTAGAAAGAAAATGAAAATTATATTACGGGTTTCCTTAAAAAGAGAGTGTCTTGCAAGGAATTTTTATATTTATGATGCAAAATTTATTGAATTGAGAGAATAAAGAGCTTAAGAATATGTTTCACGGAATCGTATCGAATGATAGAATATAGTGAAACATGCCTGAAATAAATTTTTATTAACATTCAAATTAATCTTTAAAAATAAGTTAAATTATTAAAGTAGTCCTCAATATGAAAATTATATTATGGTTAATCTTTAAGAGAGATTTATTTGCTAGAGATATGTTATTTTTATGATGTTAAATCTATTGAAGTGAGAGAAAAAGGAGCTTAAGAGTACGTTTCCCGTAATTGTATCGGATAGCAGAATAATGTAAAACGTGTAGGAAATAAATTCTTATTAAAATTTTACAGTAAAATTAATCTTTGAAAATTAGTAACTTTCTAAAAGTATTCTTAGAAAGAAAATTAAAACTATATTACGGGTACCCTTAAAGAAATATTGATTTCTAAGGAACTGTTATTTATATAATGCAAAATTCAATAAAAAGAGAGACAAAGTAATTAAGTTCACGTAATTGTATCGGATGACAAAATAAAGTGAAACGTGTTGGAAAACAAGTTTTAATTGACATTTTGCATTTAAATTAAACTTTGAAAATTAGTTTAAGGAAAATTATACTACCGGCACCCTCAAAGAGAGATTGTTTTGCAAGAAATTCTTGATTTTTAGAATGCAAAATTTACTGAAATGTGAGAAAAAGAGCTTATGAATATGTTTCACTTTACGGCAGAATAAATGTGAAGCGTGAAGGAAGTAAATTTATATGATAATGTTATCTATCACAAGTTTTATACTGTCTCCCGTTTTTTTTTTATTAGTCTTTTTAATTGGTTTTACTTTTACCTTTTAATTCTAATTAGATGTATATAGGTTTCTGCAATAACTTCATTCATTTTTTTGAAACTTAAACTTGTTTTTAATCTGAGTAATATACTATGTATATGTTCAACTATTGCATATTTTATCATTAATTATTTATAACATTTATAGAATATTATTATGTTTAATTTACAAGCTTGATACTCCCTATTTTTTTAACTGCGCAATATGAATATATTTTAGAATTAATTGCTTACTCACCGCATTTTTATATTGCTCTTCTTTTTAAGTCATACAGTGCCTTATTTATCAAAAAATATTTTTTCCCAATTTAATTATTTTTTACTTTTTGTAAGCGGAAACCAACTCTGGCTACCTAATAAGTTATCCCGCTCTACTTCTGCACATGTTATTTTTGGCCTGCGTTGACCACCCTCATGTAGACACCTGCATCCGGTCAGTTTGTTGGTATAGGAGTCAGTGTTTAATATGTTTATTTTTATTTTTCTCCCCTCTTTTTACCAACTTTCTGTAGCTGCAAAAGCTCTTATTACTTAAAAATATAGTTTTATATCTTAAGTTCCCTTATAATCTGTGAGGCATTTTTCTATTTCTCTTACATCATGTGAACTTTTTAATGCCTCTTAGTCGGAAATCATAAACTCTTGTCTTTTCCCCTTCTTGACCTTGGGATTTGTTCCCCTTTCACACGGGAGTGTCTAGGTCACGTGGTTTCATTTTACTATATTTTGCTAATTTCTTCTTCCGGCTAATAATATCTCAAGACGTTCGGTGAGAACTGCCCACTTTTTTTCCATTGGCTATTTTGGTAACATCACTTTCTGTTTTTCTTTATTGGTTACTTACCAGCGACTATTGGTTTTTTTTAACGTAGTTCATGACTGAAAAAGGATAGAATCATCTTTTGTAAAATTTTGGCTGGTGTTTTGATGAGAAGCAAGAGTTGTGGAAAAGTTTTCGGTGTTAATGTAGAAGTTTTCGGTGTAAAATATGATGAATTTAAGTTGGCGCATTGTGGAGTTCTTGCGAATTGTCTACATTCGAAAGTTAATGCCATATATTGTTTAAGTGATTGTTTCTCAATATTGCATCTGTATTTCATCCCTTCGAAATTGTTTTTTCCTCCGTAATAAATTTAAATAAATGAAGACACTTCTATGAAGACATTCCGTAGAGGACATACTGTATCGTCGTCATTCTGGGTGCGTATCAGAGCTAACTATTATATGTCAAGTTAATATAATAGTTAGCACTGGTAACAGTGGACTCACTAGAATGCCTTCACCTTACTTTCGAATATATATATTTTATTGTGCTTGTATTTGTTTCACTTCTCAGTTTTTTCTGTTCTTTTTATGACCTAATGAACCTATTGAAATAATGCTATTTATCATAAACTTTATACTCTCCCTAAATTTTTTTGGTCTTTTTAATTGGTTTTACTTTGCCACATACACATAGTTTTTTTTTTATTTCTTATTTTTTTTTTTTTTTGTAAATCTTACCATATTATAGTTTTAAACTGTTTTCAAGTATAACTGATGTTTAATTACTTAATTTCGTTTAATCATGATAATTTAACCTTCATTTATTTAATTCCCAGTGTATATATCAGCATTTAAAGTTTTCAGAATTAATTTTAATGGTTTACATTTAAAATAATTTTTGAAAATTAGTTAACCTCTAACAGCTCTCTTAGAAAGAAACTTAAAATTACGGTACAGGTACCTATAAAGAGAGATAGTTTCGCAAGGAATTGTAAATTTATGATGATCATCTATATTATTGAAAGTCTGGTGTACTAATTGAAGTAAAACTTTTTTGTGAAGGGGAGATTACATTCTGGCAGCGGTATGTATATGGATTGGATGGCTATGACGTATCCTAATTCACTTACGGTGAATTCTAATTGGTTCATGATCCCCATATAACATTTATTAAAATTTTTTTATATTATAACATTTATTTTTCAAATGAAATATTGCAAGAATCGGCATATAATAATTTATTTTTATTGAATTTTCAAAAAATTNTATATATAATTAGTGAAAATCTGAAACATTTATTTTAATCTAATAAAAAAAGGCGAACGAAATAATGAAAAGAAATAAAGAAATTTTAGGCGTGTGTTTTTCATCACACAACTGTTTAAACAAAACAATTGCACACGATTTTATACCTTTAAATAATCCACTCAGTTAAAGAAAAATATTGGTCATTTTGACAGAAATATTCCAATGATGACTCACCAATTTTATCCTTCAAAAAAGAACACACTCTATTTAAAAATATTGTCTTATCCACTTTATATTCAAAAGTGCTTTATCTATGCTCTGAAAAATACAGAATTGACATTTTACAATAAGTATCAGAGATTGAGGTCTCGTTCTGAAGGAAAATGTATTAACTTTATGATGGAAAAGAAATCTTAGACATTTATTCTGAACATGATGAACATCAATGTAAAGAATTAAAAAAAAATAATTACGAATAAAATCGATAAAAAATCGTTTAATTAAAAAGTTAATAAAAAATGAAATATTAGTTTGATAAAAAGGATAGAAATAAAAACAGCACATTTGGTCACTCTTACATCATTTTGACTTTCATATATTCAAAATAAGAATTTGACCTTTAAATTCTCTGGTTACGCAAACATTTCATTTTTTTAAATATAGAAGAACTTTAAAGAAAGGACTATTCAATATTCAATGCTATTTTTTTCCTCAAAAATAATTAATCGTTAAATTGGTTATTTGGACTTTATTACCTTCCAGGTTTCGACCCAAAAATACCAGGATTCCCCAGATATTTTATGGAAGTTAAAGAAAAAGAAGGTATATATAACTTGCACATTAAAGAAGTTAAGTTTCAGGATGAAGGAGAATTCCAATGCCAAGTAAGTTTTTATTTCTTATTTACATACCTAATTAAAATGCTTTTTACTGTCACAAACAATTATTAAAAATTGACTCAAGCTACCTATGACAAAAATATTGAATAAATGTCAAATTTAGAAATATGCAGCTTGGACTGAAATGCACGCCTGCAAAAAAAACTTAACATATTTTCAGTATTTATTAACAGAAAAAGAGCGTTTTTAATTTTACTGGTCATTTCACAACACAAAAAAAATGGTTTACTTACTCTAATAATCGTTTTTGTGTTTCTTTGTGTTTTTCAAATAATTTATTCCTTAAAATATTTAGAAAACTTTTGTGTTAAATATTATTCAAAAATGAAGTATCTACGACGGTATGGTACTAATTTACTTTAACAATGAAAGCATTTATACAGAAAAAAAATTTTATTATTGGTAAAAATAGCGCAGATAATTATTAATAAAGAGTTGTACTAATTTCTTTTGCATTCAACATCACTGTCAAAATGGTTTTCTAACATATATTATCTATTTTTAAAATCATACGCTAAGTGTGACGGAATAGTGAAGGTTTAGAGCATGTGGTTACTAATCAGGCTCTTCACAGTAAAAAATGGATGCTCGATTATCAGGAAAATTTATTCATTTTTGACTAAACCATTATCTAATAACGTTACGGCTCTGATCAAAAATTTGGTCTCTGTGAAAAAATAACTATAATTTTTTTTTTCGAAGAAACAAATTTCATCAAAATTAAAAAGAAAAAAAATCGTATTTTTTTTCCATTAAATACTTGTAGTGTCTGATTTATCTCACTTTTTTACTAATCACTTTAATGTGGGCTCCATACAGGCGGGAAGACAGAGCAACGAGGAATAGATAAATTACACCCATGCCCGAAGAGAGATTCGAACTTCGGATCTTCTTGGTACAAGGAAAATTTCTTCACCACCATATTAACCAGCGTAATTTGTCAGTTTATTTTCGATTGTCTAGTCTTTATTCTAATTTCGTCATTCTAGCTACCAATCTCTCACAATGCACAACGAAGAGGTTTCGAATTGAAAAAGTATTTTCGTCATACATTTGAGGGTTCGTGTTTTGTCAAAAATCATGTGATTTCGTGACGAAATGATTCTTAAAATTAACAAAATACTGCTCAAAGATTGTTGAGTTGTCAAAAGTGAGAGTTTTATTTTTGAAAGCGTTCGAGTTTGAACTCTTATATGACAGATTGGTCTCCGCAATATTTTTTGATTATTATTCTAATTTAAAATTAATGGTTAATAATAATTACAACCTGAGAGCCGTAACAGAATATTCGAAATTTCCAAGTATTCTTTCTTCAGAGTTGATCTCTGCAATGACTATTGTGTCAACCTCACAGACAGCTGCACTTTCTTTAGAGTTAAGTTGGTAAGCTACGATCAACAGGGAAAATCGGTATTAATGGAGCAAATTTTGTTGCTATCTACTTTAATGGAAGTTTAACATAAAGCACCATCGATTTATATTTGATAGTACTAAAAAAAGCTATTGTTTTGAATTATTTGGAATTTCTGAAAAATTACAAATTCATGGATTCTGAAAAATGACCAATTTCGATAATATGGAATCTTTGATAGCTAATAATGAAGAAGCGATTGATTTTTCTTAATAATGAAAATCACTTTAAATTCACGCTTAAAAATCTATTTATAATATGGTGAATATCACTCTAACGGAACAAAACATGGTAGTCCTTGATAGATTCGTTTATTATACCGAAGATTTTGTTAAAAAAATATTTATTGTTGTATTGTTATTGTTTAAATAGTTAACTTTCAAAAAGTTTAAGGAATATTTCTTTTTAATTCTACAGGTTGGTCCAGCTTTAAATAATACACCGATTAGGTCAGTGGCTAAACTTAGAATACTCAGTAAGTATAAAAATATAGTTTGGCTTTGGAATTTATAATTAACTCTCCCTTATATCATTTATTTTATTCACATGCTTATCTGAAATGAGCAATTATGCACAGTATAAAATAGAGGATTAAATTTCAGAAAAAGTACTGGCTCCCTAGTGTATCATTTGTAAAACCAATTTTACAGTAAAATTCATTTTTAAAGTAAAGTTTTACACCGTTATTTTACGGTAATAATACTTTGAATACAGTGATTTTACACCAAATACTAAAGTAAAAATTACGGTATATCAGATCTTTTTCTGTAACATGTTCCGGTAAAAATAGATTTTGCGTTAAAAATTACTAGTACCCTGAGTGTCCCGGTACTTTTCACCGTAATTTGATCCAAAGTTTTTTATAGTGTGGGAATTTCCTTTAAGGGTAGTATTTTTTTCACTGTTTTATGTTTAATATTTTTATTATATTTCTTAATAAATTTGACCCCAAGAGGGTAAGGAAAAAACTTTCTTAATCTTTGATATCCTTGAGAAATCTATAATAATCTTTGAGAAATCTATTGAAATCTATAATATCTTTGAGAAAGAAATCTGAAATAGGTGTATTACTAATGACTTAGTTGATATCTCGAAAAAAAATTCATTTGCTTCGTTAAGATAAAAAAATGACTTTCATAGAACCCGTCAGCTTTCTGTAATGACTAAAAGAATTGTTCAATAGAAATTAATGTTTATGAAATTAATTATTATGACTCACTAGTAAGTTGTTTGTAAGAAAACTGTAAATCACATTTCAATTTTTTTCATTTATTTATTGATTGTACGTATTTAATAAATTTAAAAAATCTTATTCTGCTGTAGTTAAAATATCCAAGCGTTAAACGAAAATTAATTACTTTCTTAACTTTAAACTTTTTTTCACGACTTATTTTTATGCAATTTAATGTACAGAATTTAATGTACAGAATCTAATATAATGTATCTCCAGAGATTTATTATAATTTCCCAACCAAATATTGATGCATTATTTTACGATTGTTGATAAAGGGAACTTTGGAAAAAAAAAAAAATGAAGGTGCATAAAACTTATTCGGGAAATACAGAACCAATATTTCGAGAAATAATTTTACTCATTTATTACTCTTTTAAACAACCTACATTACAGTTACCACGCGTTTAGAATAATTTATTTAAATATGAATAAATAATTTCCTCTAAAGCGATTAGTTTAAATTTTTTATTTGTTAGCACTTGATTTTAATCAGTTAAGCATTATAAAATTAGGTGTAGAAGCAATGTTGTATGTAGTATGTGCTTAAAGAAGTTTTCACATAGAATGATTGTCTCATAAGGAAAAATATATATATTTTATGGGAAAAATTAACATTGCTTTTTATCTTCACACATTTTTACATCTTATTCATATTTATATATACCGTTTTTTTACAACTTTCTTTTTAGTTCCACCAGATTACATAACAGTCAATGGCTTGGGTCAGGCTTCCACAATGGAAGTAAAACAAAACACAACGGTTCAACTCACTTGCCAAGCAGTGGGGAGTAAACCAGCAGCTCAACTAGTTTGGTACAGAGACAACATTGAAGTACCTAAAGGTACGATGCATGCTTATAATTATTTCGTATCTTTTTGATGAATTTCGAGTGTTTAGTCACTTTATTTAAATTTAAAATCAAACAATTCAAAATTTTAATTCTTTTTACGAAATTCCATTATCAGAAGAAATGTGCTATCAAAATTCTGTGCTCAGAAACTTATAGAAATATATTCTATTAAGCAAACATCGGACATTGTCTTTGATATAGGAAAAAAGTAGCATCGTATAAGTGATTTTCAAATGATCATTAACGAAAATAGAATTATAAATAGGCGTAATTATAATACAACGAAACCCAAACTTGCATATTAAGCGCACATGTATTCAATTTTATTCAAATGTACAGTGAGATAAATTAAAAAATGGTCCGCCCTGAATATCTTTTGATTTAATGATCGGATTTTCGCCATCAAGTTTTCAAATTTAATATATTGAGAGATTTATCTTAAATATATTAATTAATCAGTGAAGACGATATTTTAAGTTAAGAAATCTGACACAAAAAATGTACTTTCTGTGAATAAACGTACCTTTCTTTGGCGCATTCAGATTTCTTACCCCCAAAATATGGGTAGCCGAAATCTGGAAAATATGGTCCTAATAGTTTGGTAAGGAGAGGGATCCTAAGCTTTGAACCCTTACTGTTAATTTTACTTTATGCTTATCTCACCATATCTCGAGAACACATTAAGCGGATGGAGTTCAGCATTCCGTATATTTTCAAAATTCAGTATATAGCAATATAAAATTACTAAGTAGCCAATAATAATTTTCTGTGTTCTTAGTTTGAGACAAATCTAGTCAATCTGCAAATAATATTACACAATCAGATCAAACAACAAATAATAATAAATTCTTATTTATTTCTATTTGCGGCCCTACGTTATTGACTTTACGTTATTAAATTAAGTAAAAAACTTATTTAGCTGTTCATTCTCCCATTAGTAGTACAGAAATATAAAATAAATTATAAATGTAATAAATGTAAAAAAAGCNTTGTAATTTTGTATAATGAATATATTACTTCAATATCCCTGTTTATGACAGTGGATTTAAGCATTTTTTTAAAAATTGTATTTGTGCATAATATTTCGAAGATTTGAATTTTTTTTTCTTCAATCTAGAATCCGTCCATTACGAAGAACGGAAAGGAAAGAAGAGATATACTGCGACAAGTTATTTAACAATTCGTCCTCTAATCCAAGATAATGGCGTAAAATTTGCATGTGAAGCTGTGCATAAGGCGCTGGATCAGAAGATGAGGACCGAAGTTACTTTAAGTGTCTTACGTAAGTTTACTTTATTGCCTTTTCAGTGAGGAAATTATTCTGGGCCATATAACTGACATTCCAGGAATGATCTTTCGTTTAGTAAAAATTTCAGAACTTAAATTACAAATAATGAAAGTTTATTTTGAAAAAAAAATGTGTACAAGTATTTCTTTTAAAATGCTCTAGTAAAATAAGCTTTATTAAAATAATCATAAGAATAGCAGTTGTTTTTTTATATTGTAAAAATATAAAACTTATTTCAGGTAATAAATAATTATGTAAGGTTATCTGTTCAGTTTAAGTTTTATTTAATGTATTTCAAGCTTGAATGTTTAGCCGAGCTATTCAGTACCGTATCTTACATTTAATTTCGTATTTTATTTATTTATAATTTTTTCTTAATTTTAAACCACACTATTGATTTTAAGATTGATTTTTCTATTTCGCTTATATTTGCAATATAATTTTATATTGAATATTAAATAACATAATGTTACCAAAATTCTAGATCTTGTAACCCCATTTTTTTTAAAGTAATACAAAACTGAAAAATAAATTTAACAGAAGGGTTTTTATTTAAATGAAGGATTTTTATGCCATGCTCTGGGATATAATAATAAAATTTTCGAATTTGATCATATATTATGAAACTATATAATACTGCTTATTTTACTAAAAGTTGTTTCCATGCTCTAGGATATCATGATTAAATTTTAGAATCTTATCACATATTATAAAACCTAATTGTTATCTTGTTTTTTTTTACCAATAGTTGTTACCAAGCTCTATTATTCCATTATAAATTGTCTAGTTTTATCACATATTATAAAACAATATTTTATTGTTTATTTTACCAAAGGACGTTACTGCAGAGGTTCGATAACAATTTCTCAGCTTTTTGTGCTCAAATAACACTAGAAACTCCGTAATTATATCAAATTGTATCTATGGTAGTTTTAACCATACGTTTCTTCTCAGTGTGATAGCCAAAACTCTCCAGCACTACATGTGCAGATTATAATGTGAGATTAATTTTTAATCAGTATCTTAAGATTTCAGCTGATAAGATCTCTCTAATTATCATCTGATCAGCAGCATCAGAAGATTATTTTTAATCTCATCTCTTAAAGCAAACATACAACTATGGTAAAATTTCTTAGATCCCTTTCGAAACATATATCTAAACTTATTTCAAATAAGAATTAAACACCTCACAGGTTAAAAATAAAGATTGCTTTCTGTTATTTCATTACCGATCTAAATGTACAGGGATTTTTTCCATTTTTTAGTATCTTTGCATAAAATTCAACTTAAATTTAAGCAACACTAAGATTTTATGTATAATTCTTAGGTTGCGAAATTTTTGAACATGTAAATACGCCTTAAGTATGCATACGTGACATTAAACATAATTTTTAAAATAATAATTTACTTGCTTTGAGATTTTTTATTTTTTATTTCCTATGAACTGCACAATAAGTCTTCCCGATGAGCAGACCTAGTGCGTTCTCCAGAAGTGGTATCCACTCTTTCAGAACCAACACAATGGGTGAGATACCGTTGGCCGTGTTAATTTCGACGTCTAGTTTCTGCCACACTAGATGGCAGCACTGAGACTCTATTTGGATGCATTAAAATCATAATCAGAATTTTTTCTAAAGATAATGCTGCAGAATAATTCTTTACATTTTGCTTTCGGGGCATATGATAATTAAGAATTCGTCAAAAATGCAATCCTTTATGTTTATTGGAATTTGTATTTACATCGCAAAACAAATCCCATTAATTGTTGCTTTTTTTTTTTAGATCCGCCTGGAGTTCCTCGAATAGAGGGCTATGAAGAAGGCACTATAGTGAGAGCTGGCGAGGCCTTAACCTTAGTATGCATTTCAGAAGGTGGTAATCCTCCTCCTCAATTGATATGGTACCGAAGTAACGCTCAGATTGATGCAACATATTACCCAATAATGGGAGAGTCTGCAACTGCCAATAACCTAACTTTTACAGTAAGTGCCACGGACAATACAGGGTCATATTATTGTCAAGCATCGAACGCTGCTACAAAGGAGCCGCTAACAGCTTCTATCAAGCTTAATGTTTATTGTAAGTACACAAGGAGATTTGATTTGTTTTTATTGTAAAAACGTGTATAGTGTACAAAGGGATTTCTATTTATGCCACTCGAATTACCTTTAAACGATGACAGAGATGTTCTTTAAATTGTCTAAGTAAAGTAAGGGGCTCGTTAATTGCTGCTTATACACACAATTTTTAAGTAGTTATTGGTATTGGTATGATTGAAAGAGTATAGCTTTAAGTACTGATTGCCTACATTAAAATCTTGTGAGCTGATGTATCAAAAATTTACTGATACATCAAAAAATTTAGGTGCGGTTGTTTTATCTTCACTTTAACCGTAGAAAGAAGAATGGGGCTCGATTTGGCCCCTCTCGTTTTTTTTTACTCTGTAATTCGTAAAATAACTTACTGTAAGTGTTGAGTAGTTTTGACTTTTCATATCCTGATCCAACTAAAGTGCTTATTTAATCATTCATGTGTTAGCCTCAGAGAAACGTGCATATAAAGAATCTTATACTTAGAAGCCAGTGTGATCCCTTAGGCATCCCATTACCTTAGGTAGATTTGGGTATAAGATACTCTTTGGTACATGTAAGGTACCACGAATTCAAAGAAATCAGAAGCATTTTAACATGTGTGTCATTATTAATTTCAGAAAAAAAGGAAAATACTGAAAAGCCAGTTTTGCGTTTAACAAAATGTTTTCGTTAACCAAATCGAATGCTTCGATGATGAGGTTTATAATATATTTTTAAAAAATAAAGTAAGACTATATTATAAGATTTCAGATATCTAACAAATCCTCACATGAACAATTCGGGAATGACTTAATTGGCCTCTTCAGCCTTTATAGGTATACACCAATGTTCAGTCTTTCAAGATATAACTTACATTATATCTTACGTGTTATGCTTGTTTCTTTTTTTCGCTAATCATCGATTTTTGTAATTTTGTATAGTGATGCATGAAAGTTGCTTTAAGATTCTGGCTGCTTTCATGTTTAACATAAGTACTATGTGTCATATAGTATTCATATTATATGACGTATGTACTTTGATGCCATACAGTTGCCGGTATAACCAAATCGGATAAATTATCAAATTTTGATAAGTATGAGCAGATATTTTAAACTATTTAATAACGTATAATGACTAATAGCCAGCACATTTGTCTATAAAAACAAATTATTATTGTCCATTTATCCCAGAAAATCTAACGACATAAATTGACTACCAAAAATATATGCTAGATGTAGCTTCAAACAACACTTCATTTTTTGGACATATGATGCTCTTTCTCCCAACAGTAAATTGTGAAAGAAAATAGATAACGCAAATGATAATGCAAATGATAATTTATGGAAAGAAACAACTCGTGTTTCTCTATATTAAGAAACATGGTATTTTAAAATTTTGTATTCTTTAAACTTAAGTAACTTAAATTTTGTATTCTTCAAACTTAAGTAACTTTAAGTAATTGTCTTAATTACTCATCTCAATTAACTTCAAGATTTAGAGTATATCGTATTATCTTAAAAATATGTTCATCTCAAGCAAAAGTATGGTTTGTGCTAAGCGAAGTCACGATTCAGACCAATCATGTTTCAGTTCAGTAGGAAACGTCTTTACACTGATTGTTTGACCGAAACTTCAACATGAAAATAAATAAATAAAATATGAATTTTTTTTAACAGAAATGTGTTATTCGTATAAGCCTGAAACTCTTATTCATTATTATGCATTCAGAGATTTCCAAGTCAATTTCTATTGGCTGTCAACATAATTCAAAAAGCTAACAATGGCTGGGCTGACAACTTGACTGGAATCCTCTTGATATCGAACGGAAAAAAAATGTCCACTTACAAGGTTGTCAAAAACTTGATAAAAGCAAGTGGCGCAAACTGCAAAGAAATACGAAAAGAACAAAATACTTCGAAAGGTCCAGAAAAGGTTGATTGAAAACGGTATAGATGGCGATGGAAATTATGCATTCATCAAAAATTTATGCCATATCAATTAAATTTTGAACAATTTTATATTCTTAGTAGAAAATACTTTTAATTTAAAGGGAATATTATAAATACGTTTGAAATTTAATTTCAAATTAGAATTGAAAGAGCTGTAAAATTAAAGACTTATTTTAATATTCTATGCATTTGGATAGTTTCAAAATCATATACCTTGGATAATAATTATTTATTTAAAATTTTTTAAAAGCATTAATGTATGATATAATCAACTGCCTAAGGTTTTGAGAGAAAAGTGTTCATTTTGCTTAAAATATTTATTTTAGCTTGCATTAATTTGAATTTTTTGCTTAAATTTTACTATATAAAAAAGCTACTAAATCGGGTACAAAAGTGCTTCGTAACATTGCAATTTTAAACTAATTTCTTTCTCGTTTGCATAATTGGACGTAAAAGTCACTCTTAAGATATGAATTAATGACACACTGCGTCTTTCATTCACGATTTTAATTAAAATTGTTTAAGCATTTTCATACATCGTATTTTTGTGAAGTAATTAGCTAACATTTTTTTCCTTCATAGTTTTTTTCATGCGACTGATGTTAATATGATTTTAATTACACTTGAAAATTTGCAAGTTGAAATAACTTTTCTTAAAATTAGACACACTAAAAAATATTTAATGAGTTAGTATTACAAAATGCTCACAAGAAAGGCTAATGCATAGCTTTTAAGCTATATTTTTACTTTTAAGAAAATTAGAAGTAATCAACTTAATTCGAGTGTTTAGTAGATTTAATTTAAAAAATTTAACTCATATTACTGTATTTTCCTTTTAATTTAAAATTTTTTTATATGATTTAATTTTTTTTGTTGTCACTCATACTGTTCGCCATTTTGAAGAGAGAATCCATTTTAAGTAGCATATTCGTTGATAACTTAAAAACAAAACAGCATAAATTTAATGGTTGTCCACTTTGTTCGTCACTTTGTATTGGTATTGAACTTTCCAAATAAGATACCAATAGCCTGCAAAGAGAAAATTGCAGGTGTCTTATGAAAATGTTGGTTCGAAAAGAAATATAAACAGGATGCTCCGTAATTACCTGTCTCAAAAAGAAGTATGCTTTAGTATCCTTGTCAAAAATAAGTCAAAAAAGTCACACAAATGAATTTTTAAGCCAGGAACACCAAAACAAAATGGTATCAAAATTATACGAATCACTAGTAACGATGGCGGCATGAAATCATCAAAAACATTTCAATTGCCTGAATAGACTTAGTAACATACATATTTATTTCGTTTCAACTTTTCACACAGTATTTGAACAAGTTTTTTTAACCCTGTCTTCCTCAGTAAATATGCAAATTTTGTATATTAGATATGCTAAGTTTTTTATCTAATGTCACTCATGCTTTTTATTTATGACACATTTTCGAAATTAAATTATTTCTTTAAATATTGAAAGCATTTTTTGAAATCAAATTACTCTTTTCATTCCCTTCATGTCTTTCACCACATGAGCAGTTTACACTGCCTGGCACTCCTCAGATTGTGCTCTGCACTCTTTGATGCCCATTACTTTACGCAAAGCCTAGCCTTTACAAAATAAAATGCTCTTTACAGTAAACTTTACTATAGTTTGATTTTACTATAATTTTAGAATAAAAATTCTAACAGTGAATTTAGACATCATCCAAATTGTCAATGTTTTTGTCTCCTCGAACCTGGTGTAAAGGCCTGTTTACACTGTCCAAGTTCTTGAATCCGAGAAATAGGAGGAATTTCTCTGTCCAAGAAATTGGATGATTAGTAGACACTATCCAAGTTCTTGAATGTCACTGATTGGTCGGAAGAAAAACTTGAGCATGCGCATTTTTCATTTTCAACATTATAAAATAATACTTACATAAGTTTGAAATTACTAAATAAATTCAAATAAAATCATAATACAAATAAACTGTGCAGATCAATTTATCTGGACTACAATATATGGAAACAGACAACAAAATGACATAATCCGATGACTGCTTGTTGACGTCACAAAACCTAAGACGCTGATTGGTTAAGGGAGGAAAACCTTGGATGGAAAGTAGAGCATGTTCTACTATCGTCCAAGAGCTTGGATCAAGTACTTGGATAGTCGTTTACACGATCCAAGCTCAAAGCAAAACAAGTTTCCATCAATATCAATCAATCTTCGTCAAAGAACTTGGATCGTCTAAACAGGCTTTCATAGATATAAAGGACATATATTTCACAGATGTTCATAGATATTAGTCCTTGCTGGCTTTAAACGGTGGAATGAATGAAATTCTGCTGGTGCAATATCTTCCGTGTATGGTAGGAGAGATAATCTCACACCACAACTAATGAATTTTCTAAAGTTGGTCTTCCTTTTGGATACGACTCACTAAAATATAAGTGATCTAATTTTGAACTTGAACTACCAACTTCATCATTTACGAATTTTTAATCACAGATATTTTTGGTTGCAACTGACATCTCTTAACTTTAAGAAAATATGCAATGGCGCGTAAGCGCCTTTGTCTGCATGAAAAATAATTTCCATTTTTTTATTATTCAATCGTGTGTGACTTATAAGCTAGAATTTGTTTCCCTTTATTTGTACGTTAAAAGTGAATTCTATCCATTTATTATTTAATACTGTGTGATCTATACTCTTGAATTTGTCATCGTTTTCCTTTAAAATTAAGCGAGAAAAAATCCTGCGTAAAACTCACACACAATTAAAATAACATAAATGAAATCTACTTTTAACAGTCTGTATCTGACTGGCTATTACCCATTAAATTGAGTGGNTCCAAATTTTCAAAGTTTTTGTTTCTTCGAACCTGGTGTAAAGGCCTGTTTACACGGTCCAAGTTCTTGAATCCGACAAATAGGAGGAATTTCTCTGTCCAAGAAATTGGATGATTCATCGACATTATCCAAGTTCTTGAATGTCACTGATTGGTCCGAAGAAAAACTTTCGCATTGTTCATATTCAATATTATATAATAATATTTACATAAGTTTAAACTTACTAAATAAATTCAAATAAAATCATAATAACACAAATAAACTGTACAGATCAATTTATTTGGACTACAATATATGAAAACAGACAACAAAATGACATAATCTGATGACTGCTTGTTGACGTCACAAAACCTAAGACGCTGATTGGTTAAGGGAGGCAAAACTTGGATGGAAAATAGAACATGTTCTACTATCGTTTAAGAGCTTGGATCAAGTACTTGGATAATCGTTTACACGATCCAAGTTCAAGTTTCCATCAATGTCAATCTATCTTCGTCAAAGAACTTGGATGGTCTAAACAGGCTTTAAACGGTGGAATGAATGAAATTCTGCTGGTGCAATATCTTCCGCGTATGGCAGGAGAGATAACCTCACACAGCAACTAATGAATTTTCTAAAGTTGGTCTTCTTTTTGGATACGACGCACTAAAATATAAGTGGAACTTGGACTACCACCTTCATCATTTTTGAATTTTTAATCACAGATATTTTTGGTTGCAACTGCCATCTCTTAACTTTAAGAAAATATGCAATGGCGAGTAAGCGCCTTTGTCTGCATGAAAAATAATCTCCATTTTTTTATTATTCAATTGCGTGCGACTTATAAGTTAGAATTTGTTTCCCTTTATTTGTAGGTTAAAAGTGAACTCTATCTCTCGAATTTGTCATCGTTTTCCTTTAAAATTAAGCAAGAAAAAAATCCTGCGTAAAACTCACACACAATTAAAAAAACATAAATGAAATCTACTTTTAGCAGTCTGTATCTGACTGGCTATTACCCATTAAATTGCGTGGAAAAAAAGATTTAACAACTTACGAGTAAATTAGTCCCCTTAAAATGTCTTTAGAATGACTTTGAAGAACACAACTAGTTTTATAAATGACAAACGAACATCGAAATGCGCAGAAGCAACATTATTCTTTGGTTTTCCTAACATACCAAACATTGGTTTAAGAAGAAATGCTTATAAATGATTTGAGTATAATGTAATGATTTATTTTTTAAAAAATCCACCTGCAAACAAAAAAATCCGGTTTTCATTTTTTAAACTTGAAGTATTTAAAACTCTTAATACTTACTGAAATGAAATTATTAGAATTATGCAGAATTTATGAATAAATTTCGAAACTTCCACAGATCTATCAAACAAATTGTCGATAAAGGGTCCAAATGAAGTTCCTCGGGGAGGTACTGTCACATTGAGCTGTATTACAGATATCAGCAATCCGAAATCCGAAATAAGTTGGACTGTTGACGGTAAACGTTTAAAGGCAACTAAAGAAGTAATCGAGGCTAAAGAAGAAGGGTGGATTACTACAAGCAATGTCACCATCACTCTGTCCAGGCAGGTAAATTCATCACCTTAAGCTTCCCGCATAAAACAATTGCTTTTTATTGCAGCATTAACGTGAATATTAATTTTTAAAGTAGTGATTTTATTTTACGGTTATTATTGTTATCGGTGTTAAAGAGATGATTTATGATACTGTAAAAATATTATTAATACTGTAAAAATCAAGGTATATCAGATATTTTGTTCCATAACATGAACAGGTAAAATAGATTATACTGTAAAAAGTATCGGCAATCAGGTGCCGGTACCTCTTACCATAATTTGATTCGGATTTTTTTCAGTGATACGACTTGCCTGACGAAAAAGTGTGCAGGCAGTTTTGGTCTTTTTTGATTTCCATTTATAACTTAAAAAACATTGTAGAAAATATCTAATATATACAGTATAAAAAATTCAAACGTTGCAAGACATATTGTTTTATATATTACCTGAATAAATGGTTTAAGTAGTACATTATTTACAGCAATTGAGTTTTATCAACTACAGTAACACACTCAATTTGAATTTTTAATTGTGCTGATTACTATATTTGATTCATTCATTAGAAGGAAATATTCTGATATCTTGTATTGCATCTCTTCTTAAAAACTGAAGAAAACTCCACAACTACTACTTCTCAATAAATTTACTATGTTGACAATTCTAGTTTGGTGCAGAATATGGGTACGTAACCGGATTTTTTTTGCAGTGTAAAGTTACGGAAAAGTAGTAATCTTAGAGCTTTCTTTGACTTTTAAAAAGAGATATAATACAAGATATCAGAATATATCCTTGAACACCATTTTTACCGTAAAATATGATAGCATAAGTTTCACAGTAATATTTATTTAATTAGAGTGATTCAATGATTTTGCGGTACTCATTACTGTAAAAAAAAACGTTACATCATATTTTCCCCCGTAGCATGTTAGGTAAAATTGAATTTTTCGAAAAAATGTACCGGTACCCTGAGTGCCCTTACTTTTTTACCCCAATTTGATCCGGAGATTTTTTCAGTGTAGCTTTAGGAAGATTGTATTTACTAACACTAGAATTCATAACTGCTTTTAACTTTAATTCTACGTACCAGCACACTCTATACAATAGTATACCACGATGTATTACTTTATTTTATTCAAACAAAGGATTTAGTTTAAAAAAAAATACATAAACAAGCTTGAACTACGAAAAATTAATTTTAAAATTAATATATCAGCAATAACAAACAATAATACAATGAAAAAAAATCGAAATATAAAACATTTTGCACGTTTAAGGAATAATAATAAAGATATATTGTAATTTCATTAATTGTATAATTGTATTGCACATCAAAGTAAGTGAAAGTTTCTGAATTTATTTCACATTTCATAAAATTAATATATGCGTAAAATTAAAAACTATGTTATTTATGCTAAGAAAAATAAGCTGAATCCAGGCACTTTAAAGTATTCTTAAAAAGATTTGCCATTGAAAAATTGATTTTTCTTTAGAAAAATAAAATAGCATTTTCTTTTTACTCTATTTAACTTTCCATATAGCGTCAATTGTTCATTTGTTTTTAGGAACCGGATGTAAAAGAGTTTTCATGTTACGCAAAAAACAACCAAGTGTCCGGAACCGCTTCTGTAGTTCATAAGCTCCGTATTGTATGTGAGTATTTTATATTCAAATATTTTAACCCTTAACTTAGCAATTAGAAGAATCAAATTCACCGCTTATTTATTCCCGATTAACAAAGTCCTGTTTATAAATATTCAAGTTTTATAAATATTGTTAGAATACTGGTCAATATTTATTTACTTCCTAAAATTTATCCCAATCAATCAATCGTCATTTTTCTACGATACAGTTTCGTCATTGGTTAGACAGTTATCAGACACCATAAGTACTTGCTTCGTTTAGTAAACATTGCAGTAGACTTCTTTCCATCTGTAAATCATTTAAGCCACACAGAAATAAACTTTTCCAAACAGTACACTCTCCCTAATTTTTCATTGGTATTTCTTGCCATTTTATTCTTAATTTGAAGCAAACATAACGAATTGCCCAAGTTTGTAAATTAAACCCTTTGCAGATTGAGTGTCGTATTGTGCAGTTTCGCATGAAATGTTTTGATTTGGACACTAAGAGTCACTAGATGCCATGTCCTTTCATTGCGTTTGTGTCTGTGCGAAATCCCAACTATACTTCGTCCCACCTTTACTTGGCGGAATTGGAAAGACGGGAAATGTAACATTGAGTCAGGAGAAATTATTTTGCATTATTTTGAGATCTAAGGAAGTCAAGCGCTCCTTAATTCTTAAATGGATGTCACAAAACATGATTTTTTTGTGAAATATATGTTAGACGTTTCTCAGACCTAAGAACATTTAATTTATAATGTTTTCTAAGTAGAGTAATCGAGTTAGGACACTAAGATGTTAGATATATGTTAGACGTTTCTCAGACCTAAGAGCATTTAATTTATAATGTTTTTTCTAAGTAGAGTAATCGAGATAGGACACTAAGATGTTAGATATATGTTAGACGTTTCTCAGACCTAAGAACATTTAATTTATTATGTTTTCTAAGTAGAGTAATCGAGTTAGGACACTAAGATGCTAGATATGTGTAAGACGTTTCTCAGACCTAAAATTATTTAATTTATAATAATGTTTTCTAAGTAGAGTAATCCAGTTAGGACACTAAGATGTTTTACTTTGGCTGTGAGGATTTTTAAATAGGCGCGTCACATATGGCAGTTCCCATGCCAACGGCCACTATAAGGTCCATGTGGTTTTGCAGCTCTTCAAAGTTTCTTATTAAATATGTTTTTCATTATTTTTTAATTGCTTTGCATTAATTTAGTTCAAAAATAAGAGAAGATATTTTATTTTGCATTTTAATAATCTATGGTAAGTAAATACGGCATGAAACACCGGTGTCTTTTTCCACGTTCAAAATAACATTTTCTAAATACGGATCACTACTAAAAATAATTGTTCATATTTACATTCGTTTAGTTCTGATGAGAAGTCTTCCTAATTGGAATTTCTTCAATTTACAAAGTCTGTTATTTGATACGTTTTCGAATATGAATGAAAAAGTTCCAACTACTTTTTTTTTAAATTTAATATTTTAGTAAATATATAATTCCAATAATATATCATAATTTTTTTTAATTAACTATTAGACTGATTTCAATACTTAAAAAAGTACCAAATTTAATTTCGTTTGTAATGTATATGAAAGGGCATAGGAGACCTATTTGCGGCAAAGGGTTAAGGTAGTATCTCGCATAAGTAGTAAGAGCATATCAAAGTATCGTGTGCTCATTCAATTACGGCACCATATACAGAGCTCTTCAAGGTCACCTTGTTCATTGGTTTGTGCCCTTAAAAATACCGTTATTAACGTTTAAACCGTATTTACTGCTAACTGCTGAAAATGATAACTTTAAAAGTACACTGTGAATTCAAATGCATGTCGATTGTTAACCTCTTCCTTCTCGCTCCCGTGATATTGACGGGCTGGAGTGTTCAGTAGTAATGAGACAATAAGAATAATACTAATTCATTTCTTTTTCCCTGAAAACATTTTATTTCTCATTTTACACAACATATAGCAGTACCGGGATATTTTTAAGGTAATTGTAAATAGTTAGTTTGTTTTAAACTAGATACTAGCACTAATCAAATACGTGTATTTGGCAAAATAGACACTTTTATGATCGTTTTCTTGAAAATTAACCGATCGTTAAGGGGTTAAAAAGTGAAATTAAAATGAAACCTTAAAATATTTTATCTTGAAATAAATCTAAAGAATTCTATTAAAAAAAATCCTCTTTATTTTAAATAAATAATTGTCTCTTTCTTCCAGTGAATTTTATTTACTTCAAAATCTTAGTTGAGTTATTTTTTTTTCGTTTGAATGCTTACACAAACTCAAAGGCATTGTTCAACTACAAAGTTCCATGGCTCCACTTATTTATATGTTTAGTAAAGCAGAGTGCATTGAAAAAAAACTTTAAATCTCCCAAACAACATTCTCCTAACAGAAGGCATAAACTGAATATAAAAACATACAAAAAAAAGGAACAAAAGCGCGCAAATCGGATTTTGTTATTGCAACCTGTGATTTTCAAAGTCTTTCACAATAACGAATAGGATTTAGAAAATACTTGAATATTGAATTTTCTAAACTTTTTCCCGGACAATAATTTATTTTAAGACTCAAGACCTTAAAATGATAAAAACATGTCTACTGAAAACATTTTATTCAGTTTTATTTTCTAGGATATAAATATATGTTTACGTTTTCACAACGCAGATCCTCCAAGACCACCAACCATATTAGGATATGATTTGAAAACATCTCTTAGAGTGGGCGATATGCAGAAATTTAATTGTGTTTCTGTGGGTGGAAACCCTCCAGCAATTCTTAGATGGTTCAAAGGAGACAGAGAGGTAAGTGATATCTGAATAATGATGCCCTATTTCTTAGGGTTTCAGTCGTTCAAAACATCGATTATTTAAATGTATGTAAAAGAAACCATTATGTACTAGTACATTTTTCAGAGTATTCCCGAAAAGTTTCTGCGCGTTCTCATAGCTTAGAGTTAAATATTCGAAAAAAGCAGAAAAATGCCATCATTCAAATTATAGTCAAAATAAGAAATGTATAATATATAATAGCGAAATATCAGATTGGCAAATTATTTTGCAGTTTTTGCTTGCTAACAGGGATTTCTAGGTGTGGAGGTTGTCTCAAAAATTTTGAGGGCAACTTTTGGGGAAGGTTGGGAACATCATGATAAGCGAGAAATGCATAATAGTCCACGACCAAAAACATCAAGGGAAAGTCGTAAATTAGAAATGTAAAAATTTGCATACCTTCCGATTAAAAATTGTTCTGACTATTATTATGTAAAATAATGAAAACTAATAAATAATGAAAAAAAATTTTTTATGAAATTGTCTATGGATGAAAGAATTTTATAGCTGCACGCATTTTTTTTTTTTTTTTTTNNGCATTTTTTTTTTTTTTTTGATTTGTTTAAGCAAGTCTCGAGATATCGCGAAATATGCAAAAATTAAGTATGAGAGTAAATTACTTTTCTTTGACCCTCAGAAATATCGATTCATTATTCAAGCTTATCTTCGATGCCTGCAACCATTATATAGTACACGCTTGCTTTACACTTATACGATGTTACTTTTCAACCCATATCCATACCTATGGCTAATAATATAACCTATGTTTCTTTTTCAAGTAAAATAATCGTGAGTATAAAAGTTATTTAAAAGGATTAAGTTGCACACGAATGCAATCAAACTTGACGCTGTATTTAAGTTGAGAAAAGTGTATCAAATATTTCGATTTCACTTGCTGTAAGATTACTGGTGGTCTATGACATAAATTTTAAACCTTTGTTATAAGTAGAATCTTTAAAAAATTGCTTCCACCTATATTGCAATACTCATTTTTAAATACTACTTATAAATGTATAAATACAAATAAGAGGGCAATAATCCTGTAATATTCGTACAAAATTTCCTTATAAGTTAGATATTATTCAATTTTATTATTGTTCTTCATTCATAGATTAGTGCCCCTGTAATATCTATTGGATCTGGAGTGGCAAGCGAGCTTATAATCAGAGTTCAACTGAGTGACAATGGTGCTTATTATCGGTGTGAATCTTTTAATTCTGCTCTAAAGAAACCACTGTCTGCCTTCGTGCGAGTTTCAGTATTNATTGTGTTTCTGTGGGTGGAAACCCTCCAGCAATTCTTAGATGGTTCAAAGGAGACAGAGAGGTAAGTGATATCTGAATAATGATGCCTAGTTCTTAGGGTTTCAGTCGTTCAAAACATCGATTATTTAAATGTATGTAAAAGAAACCATTATGTACTAGTACATTTTTCAGAGTATTCCTGAAAAGTTTCTGCGCGTTCTCATAGCTTATAGTTAAATATTCGAAAAAAGCAGAAAAATGCAATCATTCAAATTATAGTCAAAATAAAAAATGTATTATATATAATAGCGAAATATCAGATTGGCAAATTATTTTGCAGTTTTTGCTTGCTAACAGGGATTTCTAGGTATGGAGGTTGTCTCAAAAATTTTGAGGGCAACTTTTGTACATCTTTTGTACATCTGTTTTTTGAGGGCAATAAGTACATCTTTTTATTTAATAATTTTTGGTGGACATTGTATATGAGGAGCTAGACAAATGCAGTTCATGGTTAGCGTAAAACCATGGCACTAATACATGTATGACACCGCTGGACGCGATTGCACACAGAAGGTTATGCATGTTTGAATGTTGATACAACACAAACTAATATAATCACGTAATCGATTGTAGATAGACCACGGACTCTCAAAACACGATGGTTTTGAGATTTACCAACAAAAAAGCAAGTAAGTTTTTTTGAGCATTAGAGACATTCCGGGAAACCGTTACATAAACAGTGAAAAAAAAAGTAAATTATTAAGTATGAGAGTTAATTACTTTTCCTTGACCCTCAGAAATATCGGTCCATTATTCAAACGTAACTTCGATGCCTGCAACTATATAGTACACGCTTGCTTTACACTTATAAGATGTAACTTTTCAACCCATATCCATATGTATGGTTAATAATATTACCTATGTTTCCTTTTCAAGTAGAATAATCATGAGTATAAAAGTTATTTAGAGGGATTAAGTTGCACACGAATGCAATCAAACTTGACATCGTATTAAAGTTGACAGAAGTGTATCAAATATTTCGATTTCACATGCTGTTAGATGACTGGTGGTCTATGACAGAAAATTTAAACCTTTGTTATTAGTAGAATCTTTAAGAAATTGTTTCCACCTAAATTGCAATACTCATTTTTAAATACTACTTATAAGTGTATAAATTCAAATAAGGGAGCAATAATCCTGCAATATTCGTGCCATATTACCTTTTTAGTTAGATATTGTTCAATTTTATTATTGTTTTTTATTCATAGATTAGTGCCCCTGTAATATCTATTGGATCTGGAGTGGCAAGCGAGCTTATAATCAGAGTTCAACTGAGTGACAATGGTGCTTATTATCGGTGTGAATCTTTTAATTCTGCTCTAAAGAAACCACTGTCTGCCTTCGTGCGAGTTTCAGTATTCTGTAAGTTGCATTTTAGTAAAATTCGTAAATATTGTTATTTAACAAAGAAAAAATATAAATTATTTAACATTGGATGGTTTTGATAATTGCATTAAAATGAGAAAATGGCTTTTTTTTCTTCTTTATCTTGATTTAAAATGATTAAAAGCAATTAGAAAACTCTCACGTTACAGAAAAATTAATTGCAATCATTAAACTGTTATTGGATCTTAAATATAAATATAAATTTGCACAGTTCACACGTAAAAAAATGTGGTAAAATTACTGTGTTCTATTTCTAGTAAAAAATCCATAATTGTGGTTAAAAAAAAACGAAAAATATGGTATTTAAACCATTATTTGATAATTTTTTCGTTCATATAAGGTCAGGGTTTACCAGAATTTCTAGTTTTCAAAATTATAGTTCTTATTAAAACGCATTTAGTAAAAATTGGAAACTGAAAAGTAAATTTAACCGAAAAATTTTTCCCATGCTTTTAGGTATCATGATGAAATTAAAAATTTTAACACTAGTACCAAATTTTATCACACATCATAAAGCCATATGTAATTGCTAATTTTACTAAAACCATTACCAAAGCATTTCGATGCAAGTTACCGATTCTTTTGGTGCTCCTATAGAGGTAAATTTTACCATATTCTGGTATTTACCATATTTGACAAAGTATTTTTTTCTCAGAGCAATATTCGATTTCTTAAGCTAAGTTTTATACATATATTAAAATTTATGAAAATTATTTTATTTTTTTTACCAGTTCCTCCAATGAACGTAACAATTGCAGTTCATCCTGTTGAACCTAGAGCTGGAGACAATGTAAGTACATTTTCAATGAACTATTCGCAAATCACATTCCTTAAATTTTGCCATTCAAACTGCATTAATAGTCAAATACGATATTGTACAGTGACGTCAAATAAAAAATGCATGATCCACGCTGTGAATGAAGAGGTACAGAACTTCTATATTTTAATTTGAAATAAATTTCCAGAACAGAACCTAATTTTAATTTTATTTTATATTTTTATTATTTCGGAACGCTAGTCAAATGTTTTTAGAAATTATAAACACAATAGTGCAACTAATAAGTAACAGTCAGTCATGATATCAACTTATTTTAATGATAGCAATTGTATAAACATTTAAAAAAATAATAAAAAAATTATGATTGAATAGTTTGAATATGAAATATATTCACAACTTTTCATCATATCTTTATAAATAAGTACGAAGTAGCTTTAGGGTATATGATCCGTCACTATAAATGTTTTATAGATAAAATGTCTCTCTTAAATTAATTAAGAATGTTTTCCAACATAACTAGTTTAAAAACTATTTTCTTAGAGAAAAATGCAAAAAGAAATAACTTGCTGAATAACTAAAACCTTTTTAAAAAAGAATTTAAAAAAGAGGGAATAAAATAACTATGAATAAACCAAATGCAGACAAAGAGATAAAGGAATTATGATTTCTTTATTTATTTAAAAAGAAGAGAGATTCCTAGGAAGTAAGAGTTAATCAATTCAAATATTAAATAAAAGTGGTTAACATTTTAAAAAAGGAGGATAGTATATTTAAACTATTCTAAAGGGGTTTATTTTGAAGTATAATATAATCTATTTTAAAATTCATAATTTATTTTTAAATGTATGATTGGCTTTCTGAATAACTAAAACCTTTTTAAAGATGAAAATCTTAAAATGCGTTATTTATTTTAAAAATGATTTATTTATTTTATACTTTCTATTTTATTACTTTATATTAAATGAATATATTATTTAGTTTAAATGTGTAGCGAAACATTTTTTTCCATATTAACAATTAATACGCGCTACTAGTTTACGGTGATTCACCGACAAAATCTGTTCAAATCATCTTAAACGTAAAAAGATACAGGAAAAAAAAACTTTATTCTTGTAAAACAATACTGATCTCAAAAATTCAAGTTTGTTGCAGTAAGTTTTTTTTCGCAAAATGTGCAGCGACTTGCAGCAAATGAAAATCATATTCGTAAAAGTTATCATCAGTTCGAGCCTTCAAGTGGAAAATCAAGAATAATCGTGTGACATTAAACGAAATAACATTGTGCTGCCATCTGTCGAAGCGGGAGAGAAGCGCGTGTTCGTTGTACTTGGTTACTAATTAGATGGTGCTGCGAGAGAGAGAGATATGTTCTTTGGTGCCGGCTGGGATCAAAACCGGAACCTCTGGATCTGTAACTTGATGCTGCATGCTCTATGGAGCAAGGTACGCATGGATTGTGCTCGTTTTTCATGGTCACCAACGTGGAGGTAGAGCAAGAGAGAGAATAAAATTCCACAAAAATTAGTTTCATAATATATTTTCAAATTCCCGGACTAACTATATAATCTATCAATGAGAAAATTTTATACATTAGGGGCACCGGAAAGTAATGTCGTTTCGGTGCATTAAATATTCTTAATAACCAATAAATTTTTTTTCGATAAATTTCGATTCATTTTTTATCCGGCGTAGAAAGGTTGTTGCTAACGAGAGTGAATACATTATTGATTCAAAATAAAATCTTGATAGCAAATATCAAATGCACCGAAACGACATTACTTTCCGGTCCTCCTAATATATCAAACTAAATACACTTAAAAATCTTCATTTCTTTAATGAAATTTTCTTTTTCTTTTGGGCCATTATATTTAATATTTGGTCATTATATATTATTTTGGATACTTTTAGTTTTATGGTATTGCATATTGTTACGATTTGCATGAATTAAAAATATACACTAATTAATAAAACGAAATTTAATAAAAAAAATTTCAATGAGGCAAGGAAGAAAAATCTTCTCTCAGAAGTACTACTTAAATTATGAAATATATTTCCTTCGTTATCATTACAGATTTTTTATTTATAACTAATGGGTTTCAATAATTTATAAATAAAGCAAATTATGTTTTTCAGTGTCATTTTTTTAAGGAAAAGGGCCTACTAATGGATTATTTCTACGTCCCGTCACATTGTAGATTCTCTTCTGCTCTTCTTTTTTCTCCACTTAATGTTTTTTCGTCATTGTTTTCAGTATTCTTGTCAAATGCACTGAGCGTAACGACCCAGAATGAAAAGAAAGAAAAAAAATCCCTTCAAATAAGCAACAAAAACATGAGAGAGGGGAAAAAAGAGGACAGTTATCCAGAAATGAGCAGAGTAACAAAAAGATCCGGAACTTTTTTAAGGAAAATTACAGAGCGGAAAGATGATTGTTACTTGCTAGCCTTTTATTCAAGTCATTACTCTCTTGCTTGAAACGTTTTTGATGAGAGAGTTGTCAACAAACTCTCCTTTTTTCCCATTTTCCGTTTTAGTACAAAGATCTGAACTTACCAAGCCTATAATAAACTTTACCCCGCCATTTAACGTTTTACAAAATTTTAGAAGTTTTATTTTACTTTAAAGCACTCGATGCTTGTGCTTTAGTATAAATTATCTCTAGATTGCTTATTTAAATTTTATAATTAAAATCACAATAATATGCAATCTATAACATTAGCATCTAAAAATTATTGATCGAAAAAAAGTGTCGTCTATTTTACTGAAATTTTTATATTCACGCCAAGATTAGCATAATATTATTCTACAAGAAATGTTAGCAAAAATATTTCCCTTTTTTTTCGGAATTATGAGGGTAAGTCCAAAAATATATATCCTAGTGACTGTGGGCAGAAGCGTGTATGAAGGATAAAACATATAGTAATATATTAAAGATAAGTACATTTCCGCATACCTACAAAGTACGTTTAGACATAAGTCAAATAGCCTTTTAGTATAAAACATTAGGGCTCTACATATTGAAGTAGCAATGATTGGCTTGTGTGATTTCAGCATTACATTCAAAGAGCCTTCAACAGAGATTCTTCTTCAAATTAAGAAACATAAAAAAGCCACTGGGTGAGAGAGAAAAAGACTGTATGGAGAATTGTTTAAGCGCTTCCATCCAAGAGAGTGGGAATACGGGTTTTCGTTGTAGTCAAAGATTTTGATTCCCCATTGCCATCCAACAATTGAACTCCAGTTGTTAGAAGGTTAGGCAGTTTATTTATTTATTATTTTTTGAATAGCCTCCGTTCAACAGGATGTAACAGTAAAGCGTATCATTGACTGCTCTAACCTCCAAAATGTTTAACAAATCTACAGGCCTGAGAAGGCTGTCTCTGCAAAGAATGGCACAATGACATTACCTGAGAAGGCTTCGCGCAGGTAATGTCATTGTGCCATCTGCTTGTTAATGGTCGAACAATATCCACTGGCAACTTCCACGTCCAATCACTGCTTTTTTACACCAAACTACAGGAAATTTCTTGGAATTTTTTTTTTTTAAAAAACAATTTATTTGATTATTATTTTTCCATATTTAAGCAAAACTGTCAAATTACCATAAATAAGATAGATAAACTGTTAACTATGAGAAAAAGCATTTATTAACTGATTTCACCTATTACGGTTAGTCCCGCATCAGACTGATTGTAAAGACACGGTTCCCAGTGGAACACCTAAGTCAAGAACCACTGGCTGGGGTCAGTAAGCGGATGGGTAACCAATTTAATCGTTATGGCGTAGTTTTAATGTTTTTTGTTTCTTTTTTCTTCTTTTTGACACACACACACAAGTTTCATGTTTTTCAAATTTGTGTGCTTGTAGAATATATTAATTTTTACTTAAATACAAAAGTTTACAGATCAAATTGAAGGTAATTTAATGTAAAGTTTAATAATAAATACAGTAATACAATATCTGTATTGCAAGAAAAAGTTATGCAACTAATAGTAAGATCTATCTTAGATTTGCATTTTTTTAAAGTGATACTTACACGATCAATACTTAGTAGGAAAACCCTTATTTTTTAAGACAGCTTCTTTTCATCGAGTGAACGAGTGTTTGGAGTTCATCTTTTGTAATCACATGGTGCCAAGAATCACTTATAACTTCAATAAGTTGTCTTTTATTGGGTGGGCGTTTTTTTTGGTACAGGAATTTTCAATCAATAGCAGTAGTCAACTGCAATCAATAGCAGTGGTCAGAAGAATGACTTATTTCTGCTAACAGACATTAAAATAATTATAATAATATAAAAATAATAATATCGCTCTAGCTCTGAAAATCGCGCTGATGGCACCATTTTGTAGAAATATTGAAAAGATGAAATATTTCCTACTGAAATGCCCTAAAATGTTGTTAAATGTGCCACTAAATATGTTGCTGTAGAAATACACTTGAAAACATTTGAAGATAACGATTTATCACGTTCTTTGCACTCAGCGATTATTTTTGGAAGACGAGCTATCTTGTCCATCTCGGGCAAAAAGTTTAAAGCTTCTTTCTTTGCAGGTAACAATTAGTTGCATATCTGCTAGCAGTAATCCAGTATCAAGAATAACTTGGATGAGAGACGAAACTACTCTGAAAAACATCAGGGAGGAAACGGTTGGTTCAGTTTATGGTGGATACACCACACGGAGTAGGATATTCATAATAGTTTCCCCATCTGACGATGAAACACAATTTACATGTTCAGCTAAATGTGATGAATTCAAAACTATTGTTAAAGACTACTTCACACTTCGTGTTAGACGTAAGTAATTACTGTAAAATTAATCTGTCAAAGTCACCCTTTATTCTTTCGAAGGCAGATTAATGGTGTCTTAAAACTAAATTTTATCTAGTCTTTTTATTTATTTACTTATTTTGCAAATAAATTTTTGTTATCAATGCCTTAGGCAATGTAGTACTAAGCTGAAGATTGTATTTTTATATTAATTTGTTCCGAAGTTTTGTTTTCCGGTAGGAACTTTTGAATTATCGCCCTTCTCACTAGATGGCATTTAGACCAGCAGAATAATACTATTTTCTTGAAGGATGCTGTTTTTCTTAAAAAAAAAAGTTTCGAAAAACTTTTCGCCTTAACCTTTTGAAAGACATGGCTTATGATTTCTTCGAAGTGTCTAAGTCCTTCACTATCATTTCTCTAATCTTACCCAATCTGTTTTTTTAAAGGAAATTTTGTATTTGTTTTCTTTTTGCAATCTTTTTTTTTTGATTTCTTAGAAGATTATTTATTTTTCTAAAATAGAAGTAGTATTTATTCAAAATTAATTTTAAATAAAACTGAATTTAATCTAATTTTTTATCATTTATAATTTTTCTTAAAATTTTAATTTTTGTCATGAAATGACAAACTTAATAATATTTTGCAAAATCCTTTGAAGTTTTAGATTGATTTTAAAAAATTTTAACCTATATTTATTTTCTTCCAAGTAACAAATCCTTCACTATTATGTATCTAATCATACCCCTTCTTTATTTAATAATTACTTCTCGTCTCTTAATAACGGTTTTAAAAATCATAGAAGTTTTAGATTAATTTGTAAGAAAATTTGAACTTATGGTCATGTGCTGCCAAGTAGCAAATCCTTCACTATTATGTATTTTATCATACCTCTTCTTCTTTTTTAAATAAATATCTCTCGTCTCTTTTTGCAATATATGTTTGATTTTTTATTAAAATATTTATTTATTTTTTTAAAACAAAATTATTATTTATTGAAAACAATTTTCAAATAAAACTGTATTCTCAATTTTTTTATATTTTATTTTATCATTGTTTTTTATCCTTTTAAATTTCAGTTTTTGCCATGGGTTTTTATGTTAAATTTAATAGCAGTTTTAAGCATTCATTAGATTTTTATTTGAATTTTTAAATAAGTTTGAACCACTGACTGCTTCTGTTGCAATTAACGAAGATGATTATTTTTTTTCTCTTAAAAAAATGCTGTACATAATAATTCTACATACAATTCTACAATAGTGCAATGAAATTTTCTAATTCAAATTCTTAAAAAAAAGTATTTTGAAATTATTTTGTACACTATTTCCCGTCCCTCTCAAACAATACTATTTCAGATGTCCCAGTATTCTTGAAAACAACTCACAATTTAGATATGTTAGAACAAAGTTCTGTGATAATCAACATGACAGCTAAGGCTTATCCTGAACATATTACTTACGTATGGAGCAAGAAAGAAATTCCAGTCGAAAGTGGGAAGATGTCACAGCGCATTTCATCCAGTGGTCCCATTTTAGATGTAAGGAATGCGACAAGGAAGGATTCAGGAACTTATGTCTGTACAGCTGAGAATGAAGAAGGCCAGACGCGAATTTCCATCACTTTAAATGTTTTATGTGAGTTTATTTCACCGAAAGTCTTTCCGTTTTTAAATATATTATGTTATTTAAATTTAAATCGTGTGCTATTAGAATTTTTTATGACTGTTGCTTCATAATATTCTTCGAACTTTTTCATTTTTATTACAGTACCATGAAAATATATTACGGTACAATGAAAATGAATTACGGTACCATTTTGAAATATATTACGTTCGTAAAATCTAACTTGTACACTGTTAGAATTTTTTTATTCGCGTTGCACCATAAAGCTCAATATTCTTTTTTCTGCACCAAACATGAAAGTATTACCATTTAAAAATATATTAACCCGTTTTAACATAACTCGTAAATTATAAGAAATTATGCGTTTTCTTAACAAAATTTCTTCAAATTTTATACGATGCCGAGTATAGTGCAAAATTAACGACCATCATCGTCACAGGTGACTAAAGGTAACAAATGGCAAATAAAAACAATTATCAGTCAACAACTGATAACTTTTTTACTGTCAAAAAAGCCCCTCAGGGGCATTTAATTAATTATTATTTTTTAATAAATATGTAACTCTTCTGAATATTTTAATCTGAAAATTCCTCTATTTCATTCTTGTTGCGTAAGATTTTTCTTCATTTTAAAAATAAATTTTGTAATGTTCGTAGTATTTTGAGAAATTATTCAAAATAAATACCTTGCATTTGTAATATTAGCAGTATTTTTAATCATTCGAAATTTTCAGCTTTCTGAAAAAGTTTTTAAACATGTTTTAAAAAGTGGCTAGCGGCCCATCTTGCCACTGGCCCTTAACAAAATATCCTAAACTTGCTTTATATCGCCAAGCATATTAAATATTCCTTCTGAAACTTTAGTAAATGCTATAACGGAAAAACTAGAATGGAAAAAGCAGTTCAATTTTAGGATTTACTAAGGTTGTAGAAATTTATTTGGTATTATGGTTCAAAAGTATAGTTCAAAGTATGTTTCAATATTCAATTGGTTTTGAGTGACTTCGGTTCATATTAGAAATTACTTTAATTTTGAAACATTAAAATTTTTTTTTAAAGAATTTGCAAATAACTATGTAGTTTGTTGTTCAAGATATTCTGGATGGACAATAACTTGGAAATTTAATTAAATTTTTTGAGAGATCAAAATTAGTATCGCTAAAACATCTATTTAGGGAAATTAATGAAAATAAGAAGACTAAACAAAAACTTCGATTAAATTTTTAAACTTGATTAACAGGAATATGAAATAAAAAGGTGCCCAAAATAGATTTTATTTTTGGATTAAATTGTCTCTGGACCACTAATTCACCGCTTGCAATAGCGCAACATTTATTAATCATTTTCCTTTTGAAATGCATTTCAGTACTTATATTTTTATTGTAGCTCTCAATTTTAGGGAGTTGAGGCATACAATATTTATTGGTGTTTTTTTTAAGGGGGGAACTATTGAGTCAAAAACATATCGTGAAAGAATTTATATTTTTAAAAATCATTTTAAAACTGAAACTACGTATATTTTCGTAGTTTTCTGAGTTCAATTATATTACAACGCATTTTATCACGTTACGGTTGCTTACGTTATACATACATCACATTACTGGAGATATGTAAAAATGATAACTTATGATTTACAATTATTTTTAGATGGTGCTTCAATTGAATCTTTGAAAATTATTTCACCGTCTGGAGCCGTTTTTGAAGGAGGAGAAGTCACAATAGAATGCAGAACTACAGCTAACCCAACAAAATCAGATATGATAAAATGGAGAAACAAAGGCATAATTCAAAATGGTCGCCAGAATCAAGATAATTCTATATCAGTTTTGCACATCAGTAATATTTCCAGAGAATACAGAGGTCTAGTAGAGTGCTGGGCTGACAATGGTGTTGGTTCCCCAGCATTTCAGTCAATCATGCTGAATATTCTTTGTAAGTTTCAATTCATACTTTGAACAACTATTCTCTGAAATAAAGAAGAAAGTCTTAGTAGTTACTAATAAGAGACTGCTTTCCTTTTTTTCAAAATTTATTTTCCTACTTTTCTTTAAAAATATATTTTAAATTTTTTCAAAGTAATTTTTTTATTTGAAAATATGAAATAGAATTTTTGAAGTAATTTGAAATACAATGATTGAAAATCAATAATGAAATAATAATTAGTTAATAAAAATAAATAATTTATGAAAATAAATAATTGATGAAAATGAATAATTAATAAATAATTATAATTATTTAATAATTATAAATTATAAATAATCCTTAATAATTAATAATTAAATTATAATAAACCAAAAATTAACTTAACTAATGCTTTAAAAACATAATATTTTTTCAAGACATAATAAATTACTTTTAAGTCAATTAAAATATTATGTGTCTTCTCACAGATTTTAAGTGTTAGAGTTAATATAAACTGTCATAGAGTTGATATAACCTTAAATTATGTCATTAATTATTTAAATTAACTAAATAAATAATTTTGCATTATGTGGAAATACACGTTATTTTATTGTTTACATATTTTTTTTGCAGATAAACCTTTGGTCTTACAAAGTGGTGGCGAACTGAATGATGGAGTTGGTGATATTAAATGCATATTTGACGCCACTCCCAACGTGACTGTCACGTGGGCTCTAAACAATACAGTATTAAAAGAAGATGCACTAAAATACAGTATGAGTCTCACTAACACGGCTGATGTTCATTGGCTATCTGTTCTTACTATTAGAAATATCAATTATGACGATTATGGAATTTATTCTTGCATTGCTAGAAATAATCTTGGATTTGATTCTGCTGATATAATTTTAAATGAAAGAGGTAAGATTTTTACTTTAGAAGTCTGTAGATAATTCAAATATAATTCTGTTTTAAATATAATATCGTAAGCTTTAAAATTTAAGTAATAGTATCAGAGGACATTAAAACTCATGTTAGTCATATAGATGAATAAGTTTAATAGAGGAATAAGAAATTTACACATATAGTGACTTTATACTATAGAGTGAATGTAATGAAGGCTCGAAAATTAATGTAAATCGGAGTCAATGCTTACTGGAATATAAGAATTATTAAACTAATTAATGTGTCCTAAATTAAATATATTCATTTTCTAGAACATACAAAAACAATTCTGCAAGTTATAAAATCGATTAAAGTTTATCTCCGACCATATCGTTAAAATTCGTATACACCCTCAAAATTAGGAAGACATTAAGTCCGTTTTTTTTGTTGATTTTTTTAAAATACAATTAAATCTTTTAACACAATTAATAATCAAAACCTAAACCTCATTTTATGTTGTGAATTGTATGGCATATTGTTATCTTGATTTATCATTCTATAATGGAGGGAATCAGTTTGAAATGCAAAGACTTATCAATAATGTATCACAATTACAAATATTAGCATCAAAATATTACAAATACCTGGAGAAATGCCTTCACAGTGACAAATTGATTAATTACAACGATATTTCAATGCAAATCTGCACATAACTCAGAGATCACATATTTTCATCGAAATAGTACTTTATCTTTTCCCAGTATAATTTCTATGAAGGCAAACATTGAAATGAACTTCCAGGCATATTCTTCCTAGCAAAAAATAATGTGCCAATTTTGCTATATATAGCTTGTAAATGGCGAAAGGCATGGAACAACTACTCCTAGAAGAGAAGAAGCCTTTACATGGGTCATCATAAACGAGAAATTTGAAACTTAAGTAGTCCGAACGTTGTGACATCTTTGGTATTTAACCACCACTGCGCAGTGTAGTGGTCCAAATATTTCCCAACCCTGTGTGAAGTGTAATAGTCAGAACGTTGTTACAGCTTTCTTATTTTCTTTTACCACGGAGCAATTTATATACGTTCCGTTGGGCTGATAAATTGATCAATGGGAAGGTTTTCTCTCTTTTAGCAACACTGCATACAGTGGTACGATATACTATACTTGCTATTTGTGAAACATTCTGGAGTTTGTAGTTTACATACTACTTGTTTAAGGTTATTTTATTCTATGACAGTCGTTTAACAGCCGGCCCAATGTTTGGGCTTACGACTACTAATATTCAACTACGTAGCCTTGTAATTTTGAACACTATACAGAAGACATGGACATGCCATCGCTCAGATTTGAACCAGGGTCACCTCACTGGAAGGCTAGTACTCTATCCACTGAGTAATCGTGACTCTATTTAAGTCTATTAAAGTACACTCTGTAACAAAAAAATCGTCGCACCAAGACGCGCAAAATCGACGCTCGATCAGGCTGGAATGATGCCGACTGGGGACGTATAATCTTTAGCGAGGAATCCCGCTTCCAACTGTGTCCTGACGATCATCGAAGACGTGTTTGGAGACGCACAAGGCAGAGGGGGGGATCCTGCCTTCACCATTGCACGCCACAACGGCGCTCAACAAGGCATTATGGTCTGGGGTGCCATTTCCTTTGACAACCGGACCCCTTTGGTCGTCATTAGAGGTACACTTACTGCACAGCGGACCGTCGACGACATCCTAAGACCTGTTTTGCTACCGTTCCTTTTGCAGCGCCCTGGGATGGTTTTTCAGCAGAACAATGCCAGACCACATACGGCACGAGTTGCTATGAGCTGTCTGCAAGCTTGTCAAACTCTTCATTGGCCTGCCAGATCACCAGATCTTTCTCCTATAGAGCAAGTCTGGGATATGATAGGAAGGCGATTGCATCTGGCACGGAATGTTGATGACCTCGTTCGACAATTGGATCGAATTTGGCAGGAAATACAGCAAGAGACGATCCGGGAGCTTTATTGGTCTATGCCACGCTGTGGGGCAGCTTGTATCCAGGCTAGAGGCGGGTCAACACCTTAATGAACTTGTTACTGTAACTCTGCAATAAATCATTAAATTGTTCTGAAATTTTAATCACTTATTATTCTGTACATTTTACTTCTATCCACCAATTTTCGTTTTAATCGGACAACTCCTTCTTGGTGCTTCAATTTTTTTGTTATAGAGTGTATTTAAAAAGTCATTTCCAAAATGCTTTGATTTTAAATCAAAGATATTTGAGGTGTCTAATGTTCAAAACCCCGTTGATGTCTGGTTGGTTCAAAGATTGTGCATGATTTTAAAGACCAAAATTGCCCTGTCCAAAAAAATTACCCTTTTATCGATATAATGAGTTATAGTTATTTGTAATTTAGACAAGGTGGTTAATTAAGTTAGTGGTTAGTTAAAACGAAGGTGGATTAGATTTACCTAGGAAAATATCTACGAAAGTGAAGCTGCGTAGTTCCATGGTTTTCAAATTTATTAGGTTGCAGTGGTAAATCATAAGAGACATTAAATTTAATTCGGATTCCATAAATCTCGATATGGATCATTTTAAAATGGCGAATGAAAGAAAGCGTAATATTAACTTGAAAAATTCATTTTCTTTTTGTTGATAGGTTTTATTGCAAAGTTAATTTATGATCCCTTGTCAATAATAACAATAAAAAAAGCATTTAAAGCTAAAGCAAGAAGATAGTAAAAATAAGTATCTTTCGTTGTACCACTACCACATCTGTATTATATTTATATAAATATATATTAAAAGAGAACAGTTTTTACTTTATCTCATTTCAACATTAACCATATACTTATCTGTTATGAGACTGCAAAACTGGATTTAAGAGGCATCAGGAGTTGCGGTATCAAAATAAACATTAAAAATACCTCTATGCGTACAAAGTATAACAAGACTGAAAGGACAAAACAATTGCTATGTATGGACATCAGCATCGAATAAAACTTTACTGATCTAACTTTCCTGTTTTATTGCTCTTTTTAGGTGTTATTCCTGATGTTACAACTCCTGCATTGGTCCCAAAAGACGCTCCCAGTCGATTTCAGACCATTAAGTCTTGGTGGATCACGGCAACAGCTGGTGCCCTTGTGATAGTTTTACCTTGTTTCATTTTCTTTATTTGCAGTCTAAGAAAAAGATCCAACAGGACAACCCCTCAGAGTAAGTACTCAGCTTCTGAATGAATTTTTGATTTTAGTGGGTTGTAAAAATGAATTTTATGGACTATAAAATAATATCATTTTCATTTACTGTTGGAATTTATGATAATAGATTTTTATGTTTAAAAATTAAATTTCATTTGCAGTTTTTTAAGTCTTTTGTGAAAAGAAAAAAAATCACAATTTTTTATAAAAAGGGGTTTAGATATTATTATCAAGGATTATGCAATCAATATCTTCAGAAGTTTTAACGATTATATATTTTGAAAAAATATCCTTCGAATTTAAAATCAAGGTTGTTCGTTCAGGTTATAAAAGCAACTTATCATTAAAAAAATATAGTCACTTCTACAATAATGTACTCCTTAAGTAAATCTCTTTATTTTTATTATATTTTTTTAACAATATCAAAAGGGAATTCAAATTAAATGCAAATTGATTGTACGTGAAACCATCAATGTAGATATTGTTTCACATAAACATAATATCTCACCATGACATTTTAAGACATTTTATTCAATTACTGTACATTTAACTTACAGAATACCTTTACCTCACCATTAACTTATAGAAATGGAAAATTCCGTTTGCCGTATGCAAGCAAAAAGTCGCGAAAAATGTAGACCTCCACTATATTCTGCAATTTTTAATATATTTTTTTGCTTTAATTTTCAATTTTAGGCACTAAACAAAATGGGCTTTCCCAAAAAAAATTAAAAATGCTCAATTAATTTCCTTGCGCTCAGCTAACCAAAAAGTACTGCTATATCTCGTAAAGAATTATAAATTCTCGTAGTGAATTTTCGTTGTTGAAAACAATTGTTACAAATTTAATCTTTAGAATGGCTTCGCCGATTGGCATGGCATAATATTTTTTTTTCTTTTTTGATCATTTTGCGATTCTCATACTTAGAAAAATCTTAGATCTTTAGAAAATTATAATTCCTAAATAAAACTAGTTAAGTTGTTTAAATGATGCATTAAAAATGCGTGCAAATATGTAGGCTATGAATATTTAAATTTAAAGAAATACTACTATTAAACCTTTTCAAGTAATTTTAAACATAAATATGCTAATTTTAAATCGTCCAAAAGGCATTTCAAGACGTTAAGAATTTTTGAATTCTAACGCAGAAACTTTTTGTTCCCAAATAGTAATAATAATTGTTATTTTCAAACACCTTTTTTTTAATTCTTAAACGGCTCTCAGAACTGCTCTCTACGGCTTTAAATGAAAATATCACAAAAATATGTAAAATAAAACAGATTTTTAAGTCTGAGGTCTTTTTCTGAGATGATAACGGAATTTTTCACATCACCAACAATGTAAAAAATTCTGTATCAAATTACATTAAAAAGTGCCGACACTGGTACTTTTTTCCGTAAAATCCATTTTTACTGTAGCCTACTGCGGAATAAATACATTTGTTGTTGCTGTTTCTAATGTCACTTGCTACACAGGCAAGCCTGCTCGGTGAAACCGAGCAAATTTAAGGCAGAGTGTGCTCTTCTTGTTTTTCAGTGGCGCCATCCTGTGGCCAAGAATTCAATTTCAGCCACACACACACACGTCACATCCCGTTTTATAGGGCGGACCCATTCACACATCCATTCATTGATCCACAGATAGTAATTTTGACCTGAATCAGAGAACGATCGATCTCCATTCCAGTACCCCCAGGGGTATTGATTTGTTATGGGAATATGGAGGACTTTTGCGACTCGACAGATTTACCGTGCATAAGATACTTGACTACACGGGGACTCTTCGGCCGACGGGGTTCGAACCCACGACCTCACGGAAATGGGCTCAGTGCCTTACCGACCAGGCTATCCGGACAAGTTGGCCCTTTCGGTTACAGCATGTACCGAGCCTCACGGAACTAAGAGGCTTTCTAAGGTGGGACTAGTAGGAACGGAAAAAATTCAGGTCGTTTAACCGTATTAGATCAAATCTGTCACTGAAGGATTTGTCTCACAGTAAACAATTTGAATACCTTCTTTTTTTCTATCCTTATTTGAGTATTTTTGTTTAATATAGTAAAATAGCAATTAAATGCATTGTTTAATATTTTTTTCCAGAAATTTCTAACAACGTTTTTCCTAACAACATGACATACAATTTCCAATTCATATGATCTTAGCGAATTTTAAATTTATATAATTTGCAAGGTTAATTTTACAGACATTTTTAATTTTCGGCAGGATCGCGAGAAACACGTCATCTGGATATCAACAACCTCACGTCGGAAGAAGTTTGCAACAAGTTGATGCTATCCGGGGATGTTAAATCGATATTATTGTGTACTTCAGAGAAACACCTCCCTCTACATGACTACAAGGTAATTGTAATAAACTTTTATATATGAATTACGAGTTATTGTGAAATATATAATTGAGTCATGAGAATCAAAAAATCAATAAAATAGAATGGACTCTACGGCATTATACGAATATCATTTTAAAATCTACGCAAAATCTTGTCAAAAATGAAGTGATTAAAACCTGTTAGTCAATTAATTTGCAGAAAGGGAAAGAATTTGATGAATTAATCACCAATTCTGATCATAGTAAAAATAGAATTAAAGGTGTAGTTAAAGTACATTAAATTAGCCCTATTGCCACATTTCGATTTGAAATAAAAATGTGTGTTTGCTATTTATGTTGAATCTTATATTTTAAGAGAATGAAGGGAAATAAACATTAAAAACAGGTTTTTAATATCAGGGTACTTTTAACGGGGTCAAATATTTTATTTCTTATTTCCAATTATTTAAGTTTATTTCAGATTTTTTCAGCTGTTGCTCAGGTACCAGCCGAGAGTAAAGTGTATTGGTTGTTATAAAAACGGTACAAAAATAAAAAGAAGATAAATCAGGACAGTGTTATAAATTTTCTGTTTTATCAAATGAAAATAGTACTTTAGTTTGTTTTTAAAATCTATAATTATTATTTTTTTTTGTATAAGGAGTAGAAACTCAAATTACTGAACTATAAAGTTTTAGTATAACAAAAAAATCATAATGTTATATTTAATCAGATATTTTCGTTAAAAAACCGTCGTTGCATTCGTCTTTCAGTATATCATCATTTCGTCCTTAGAAAAAACAAGAACATGATATTTTGATAATCGAGCCTCCATTTTATATTTAACAAACAATATTTTCTCATTTATTTTAAGTTATAGATACATATTTTTAGATCTACACTGTAAAATCAATGAGGGGTCACACTGGCTAATTCGTTGATTTTAGTATATAGCAATTTTAATTTTTTTCAAAGAGAGAAAGTAATTCTCAGTTACAGCAGTTTTCAGAACTTTTATTTTTACTTTATTTATTCTCATTTAGTTTGTAGATATATAAAGATGCATTAAATATTAATTTGCAACTCCTTAAGAGGATGAACTCCAAATCTATGCATTAAGCAGCGTAGAACTTTGTATATTCTATAAAATATAAAGCACACTTTCACTATATTTATCGATAAGTTACCAAAACAGGATATGATACTTGCAACTTCCAAAACGATAATCGAAATTTCAAAGAACCTCTCAGCCTTCCCTAAAAATAACTTTGAAAGATGAAATCATTTTTCATGTAAAAGGATCTTGAAATCGAAACTTCAACCAATATCATTTTCAATTACATTTCCCGTTTCAAAACGGAGTAATTTAGGTGGAGAGAAGATTATATAGGCTTAGATGAATTACAGTACATTTTATTTACTGTCTACTTTCTTTGTAAAACTTATCCGAAAATGTTTTTCATCGTGATAAATTATTAAAATATCAAGATAAGTTTTGCATTGCATTGGTTCTTTGTGGGTTTTCAGCGTTAGATTGAAGTATCAAGTTAGAGTTAGATTGATATATTAGGTTATTATTTGATTAGAAAACTTTATCGGTCTCAAAAATGCGCAGATGTTAATAAAAGTTGACATGCTTCAAGCGTTTAAAAATAGGCGCCTATTCTCAAGATTTGCCAGACGTAATTAAAATGAAAGGTAATTTGTAAAATAAAACGTAAAAATGCCATTGAAAAATGGAGAGTAAAGAAGAAAAGAAAAACCAGAAAAACCACAGTAGCCGAGATTGTAACAATGAAAATATTGAAAAAAAAAGAAGAAAGAAATAAGAAAGAAGTGGCCGAGAGGGGTGAGCTAGAGTCAAATGCACCTCTACGTGCTATGGAGAGGGAGTGTGTAACAAAAGTCGTTAACAAAAGAATCATTTATATGAATGAAACAAGATTCCTCGGCATCAAGATGACCTAATATTTCCCAAATCAATTTCAATACATTTTTCACAACACTATTTCAAGCTATTTTATATTTTAAATCACTTCTGTTTTTCTTATTCATGGACCCCGAGAGCCTTTATTTCTATCTGCATATTTTTGAGGACAATTAAGTTTTTCAATCAAGTAACGCTTCATGTTTCCTGTGTTTATTTATTAAGTATTAGTTTATTGCTAATCAAATTAAAGGATTTAAAAAGGAAAAAAATTATTCATTCAAACATAAATTAGAATAAAATATTTGAATCGAAACTTAATACCAATAGAAAATTAATACTATAAATACAATTTTTTTTGATCAATAGATAAACATAATACAAATGATATTGATCACAAATCATAAATAATTGAATTTATTATTTTTTTTTAAATATTTTAAAAAGGAGTGTCAATTTGCTTGAAATCAGCAATATATATCTTAACATATCAACAGAAAAATTAAAGGTAGGATTCCTTTAATCCGGAACATGCAAACATCAGAGTACGCATATCACTAATGATATTTAGTTGAAATTGCTTTTATATTATAAAAAGAGTATAAATTTGCCTAAAAACACTAATTTATGCCAACAAAGAGTTATAAAAAAACTAAAAAGAAATGACTTACTAAGTCTAAAACACGCTAATATCAGAGCATATACACTGAAGAGCCATTACATTATGACCACCCTGCTAATAACATTTAGGACACCTTTAGCCCTCAAAACTGCTAGCACCCGCCGAGGCATTGATTCCACAAGGTGCTGATAAGTAGTCTGAGGTATCTGATACCAAGCGCTCACTAACTGGTCCTGGAATTCCCTCACATTGCGAGGGGGTATTGTGGCAGCACGAATTTGGTTTTCCAAGTAGGACCACAAATGCTCTATTGGATTAAGGTCAGGAGAATTTGGGGGCCAAGACATGACTTGAAAGTCATTGGAAAGTTCCTCGAACTAATCCATGACGATTCAACTCTTATGACATGGTGCATTATCCTGTTGGTGAACACCCTCCCCCGCAGGAAAAACTGTTGCCATGAATGGGTGAACCTGGTCTGCAACTATGTTCAACTAGCTTGCAGACGTCAGGGATTGTTCTATGAGGATTATGGGTCCTAATGTGTCCCATGAAAACATTGTTCCTGGGCGAGAAACCATGAAACCAGGGTGAGCCCATTGTTATGAATGGAGGGTGGAGGGAGGGTGTAATGGCTCTTTGGTGTATATAAATAAAGATTGAGAATTCAAGGAAAGTCAATTTGAGAAATTATATCTATCTATCTGTACATATAAAATTCGTTTTGATTCTCCACATGTAGCAACGTAATAATTAAAAACTGTGAATACTTTTAAATGCATACATTTTGATTTTTTACTTTTGCAGGGGCAGTCAGTTTTCACTATAGAGGATCCTTATTCATTAGACAAAGTGCATACTAGACATGATCATGATTCTAAATCATTAGGTAAGACACGAAAAAAAAAAAAAATTATTTCACTCCTTATCCATTCGTGTACGCGTCTCCCCGTAAAAACAGTATAGCACTGCGAATTATATTGTATCAATTTTTAAATTTTTTTTAAATATCTCATGATATTTTTTATTTTTTAAAAAATAATATTTCTGAACTTTACTGTTAAACAGGCTGCGTTTCTCAATCACTTAGTATGGAATCATGCTTTACTTAAACCTTTAATTAGCTCCCTTGTATTTCAGTTGTTTTTTTGTCTATAGCATGCAAACATGGATTATTTTCTTCAATAATGCTTTCCACTCTAACTCTTTTTTATTTGAAAAATATGGAGCAGATCGAACTAACTATTTAGGTTAATAAGATACAATAAAAATTGAGCATTTACCAAATAGATCGACTGCTCCTTAACTATCATAAGATAAATTAAGAAATCATAAATTTACTAATAAGGTTTCTATGAAAATCGCTTTTCATAATCTCAATCTCTATATAAATGTAATAACAAATGCATGATATTTTTAATCTTATTTTTTTTTCTTTAATATAAGATATTAAAATGTTATGCTTAATATTCTAATTTGCATGTCCTTAACTAAAACATTTATCACACGGAGAAAGCTGTACTGTAATGACAATTCTGGTTAGAAAAATCCACAATTGGGGTTAATTAAATCAAAATATATGATATTTAAACCATTCATTCTGCTATTTTTCGTTTCAAATGTTAATGGCTTAACTAAAAATTTGGTTCTTAAGGTTGTATTTCTCATTATCAAACATTAAATAAAAAATGCAAAACTTAAAAAAATAAATTTCTCCAAATTAATGGTTTTTATGCCATGTTATCTGGTATCATGATTAAATCGCTAAATTTGATGACATTTTCCTAACTTTGTCTCAAATTATAAAACCATATTATGCTACTAATTTCACCAGAAACATTACAAAAGTGCTTCGGCAAAAATTACAGATTACGGAGCATTTTAGTGCTCCCATAGAGCGGTAAATTTTACCATATTCGGGAAGCTTTAACCATATAATTAACCAAACTAACCCATAATTAGCAAATTAACCAATAATTAACAAATTAACCAAATTAACCATAATTAACCAAATTTTAAAAAAAAAAGCTTAATACGTTTGAAAACATTCAAATACATTCATACATTTATTTATACTTTAAATACATTTGAAAAGTGAAAGCGTCATTTGAAAAATACATTTTTCTTTGTAGGTAATCCAGTCAGAGATACATTAGTGGAAGATATACCTCCTTCTTCAGTGACGTCACAGCGTGATTGCCCAGATATACTAAAGAACGAAAAGTGTCTGTGTCTGGTCTCGATGAAAGTAAGTCAAAAATACTTTTTTATAGTGTAAGAATCGAAATTTTATTATATTGCAGGGATATCAATATGAGCTACGTTGTTAAATATTAATGAATAACTGTTTAAATTCTATCCTAGAAATTATTTTTTCCTTATTGACCAATTATTTAAATTTTATTTTTGTCCAGTTTCTACTAGTAATAAGATGTATACACATTCAATATAAAAAATATTTACATAATCAGCTTTTCATGTAGTTGCCCATGGGGCTTTAACATTGGTCATTGATTGTAAAATGAGTTACGAGTTAGAAAAAGTTACTACACATATTTATACCTTACATTTACATGAAAGAAATATTTGCGATTACCCTTTAATATATGAAAACCTGTTGAATCTTATATTTTCAATAAATTTCCTGTTAGAATGTGTAAGTTTAGACATGATATCCATTCCCCGTTATAACAGGGGATCCCGTAAATGTTGCGACTAACTCCCAGATGAGCCATCATCATCAGAGATAAAATTGCTAGGAAATGTCTTCAAATGAGACTAAAAATGCTTTTCAAGTATAACCTGATCAGAAGTGGAAAAAAATCGTAATAAGGAAACATCTCTATCGGCGTATAGACATGGCGTACATTTCAAGGCTTGGCTTCCTATGATGATCATATACCCTAAATCCATTAAAAAGTTTTTTTTATCAATATTTTTGCGACACCCTGTTATGAATGACGTTTGCAAACTTGTACGTTTCAGAAAAAAATAGAATAAAAATTTCTTCAAAAATAACTATTGCTTGGAGAGAAATCAGATTGCAGCTTTGAAATAAGATATATAAAAATATTCAAGGCCAGTTAAAATATCTCATGCTACCTAAAACAATTTTTTCCCAGTGATATTATTAATTGTATATTATTATATAATTAATATTAAATATTATAATACATTAAATTAACGATCAAAAAATATATCTTAAATTTTGGTCATTTGAGATGTCTGAAATAGGAACGTCCTACAAGGTCGTTCTTTAAAAGTTAAAAGAAAAAAACCCCGAAATAGTTTATCCTCAACTTCTTTTTCGTTCATTGACATCATTAATAATTGATTCTAAAAATATTATTATTCTATCACTATATCGCAAATGGCTGAGCATTTCTTTCTATCTCAAATAAAAGATATAAAAAATTATTCACACGTTGGACTTCGAAAGTCTACAATTTGACGAAAAAAATTTATGAATGTAAAATTATAACTGGCACTTCAATTTATGTTTTGCAAAATTGTTTAATTCGCCGACAAAGCTTGTTTAAGCTTTGTCGGCGAATTAAACAAGCTTTTAAGATTATCTAACATACCGGCGAAGAGTATTATTTGAATATAAGTGAATTTTTACAAAAAAATTATCTATCTATATATCTAGTTATCTATCTATCTATATATATATATATATGGTAAATTATTGATATATAATTGGTATATATGTGGTAAATTATTTTTGTAATTTTACTTGTAAAAGGAAAACGGAGAGGATTGTATGTCTCCTCAGTCCGATAGTCCAGAGAGTCCAAGATTCAATTCTACACCTTCTGGTTCAACGGGATCTTGTCTTAGTGTTTACCATGAAAAAACGTCTATACGGTCCTTAGCTGGAGGTATGTGAATTTTTAAATTGAATAATGTGCAATAATATAGTATCAAAAAAAGGTTAATCAATAGAATAAAAGTAACCTTTTAACCAATAAAATATTGCCATATGTGCTGGTAAGTTTGCTTATAATTCAATACAATAAAATATATTTGATTAATTATCAAACATCTGTAATTTTAATAATTAGATAATGCAATCAAATAATCTGTTAGAATAAAAGGAACTGAGGAATTGTAAAAAGTAATTTTTTGCCTAAAATTACCATTGGGTAAAAAAAAAATTATAATCGTGTGCAAAAATTTATTCTATTCGCTGAATAAGCTCTCGGGATATGGTGAAATAAGCAAAAAGTAAAATCTACATTAAAGACTCCAAAATTTTGTGACTGAGCTATAGGGATCATATTGGAACTATAGGGCTATCCTCAGGGGTCAGAAATCTGAATCCGTCTGAAAAAGTTATGCTTATTCAGAGTAAGCAAATTTTTCTGTCCTCTTTTTTAATTTAACATATCGTATGCACCGATAATTTAGCATATTTGAAGTCACCCCCTCGGAAATTTAAGATTGAAATTTAGAGAGTGAAGATCCGATTATAAAATCGAAAGTTATTCAAGGTGGAATGTTTCTTTAGTGCTTAGTACATTTAAAGACATTTATTTTCCTGTTCATATGGAATAACTATTTCTCAAAAGCACAAAACTTTAAGAAATAGGACTTGCTGTTCTAAAATATTCTACAGTTCTTACAATTCTCAAAAATGTTACATTCTGAAGACTTTTCATTGTACAACATTTTCATTATTTTCATTATTTTCCACACTTTTACTATTTAGCAATCTAAAGAATTGTAGTAATAATATCTATAATTCTTTACAGATTGTTAAGCATTAAATTCAGTTTCGTTCAGTTGGTTAGATGTAATTTATAAATATGATGAATTCTTAAAATAAATAAATTCTTAATCAAGAAAATATAAATTAAATCTGACACTTTCTTTCGAATGAAGGCATTTTTCTCATATTTTCATTCAATGATATTTGTTATATGGGATGAAACAATTTGCACAACCATTCAATTATTATTTTTAATAATTAGAATAAGCTTCTGTTCAACTGACAAAACTACACCTGAGAAATAAGCTATGATATTATTAAATGATTTATATTTACATTAAACCGAGGTTAATATGTAAATCAAAGAGTATTTAAAATTTACATCTGTATTTAAATTGGCTTTACTGCGAGCGATTTTCAAACCAAAAAGCAGGTAAGAAAATAAATTATCATTTAATTTTGACACAATTACACCAAATTGTTTTTCTTAAAACAAAAATTTATATCTCCCACATGAAATAAATTCAATACAAACAATAAAAATGATATAATCCTCTGAAATTTTCGTGTAGAAGCAAGAGAGCAGACCTAGATTTGATGCAGGATACTAGTTTTAAACTTTGAAGGTGATTGGATTTTTCCCAAAATTTTTGATTTAAGTGACCAACAATAAAACAACAAACATTTTAAACAATCCATTTTGTACAAATATACACAAATTTCTATGCGTAAATTTTCAAAATGTTAAAATTTTCTTTAAAAACGGTAATAAAAATTTATTAAGCACTTTAAGCAATTAATAATTAATTATTAATACTTATAAAAATAATAACCTTTTTGTAAAAACAAGATAAAATTTTTCAATTTCATGAGATAGGGTTGGTTCCGTGAAGACAATTATCCGATAACTTTTCTGGAACTAAAGGTGAAATTCAAGAAAATGGAAACGTCAGCCATGTTCTGCTTTCCATGCAAACATTTTTATCGTATTAATTGGTTACATTGTATTGTAATATTTTATAGATGTGGATAGTGCAGCTTTGGCAAAACTTCACCCAATTATGGTGATAAGAATAGAAGAAGATTTACATAAACTTTCAGAAACGTGATGTTTCAGGACAACAATTATGTCATAATGTTTATTGGTAAGCAAAGCTGTTTTTTTTTCTCGTTAGAAAAGCACGTTTAAGTCCTAATTTTTTAAACTTTTTCTATGAATGTTTGATTTTTTTAATATGCCAGAACTCTTTGAACATGAGTGCAGAGTAAGAAAAATGCTGCTTGAGGATTTTAATTAAACTTTAAAATATTTTGGAGGTTAACTGATCGATTTTAAAACATTAACTAAAGGGATGTAAAAACTAAATAAAAAAAAAGTTTTTTTTTAAAACTGGTACATTATTTTCAAAATTTTTCAAGTAATTTTTATGACGAAATATTGTCTACAAAACATCCCATTTCTAGTTAGTGTTAATTAAATACAAATCTAAACTGATGTTATTAAGTAAATAGTATTTTAATAACCGAAAATAAACTTATTTTCATAAAAAACCTTTTTATTATTTATGCTTAATGAGAAAAACAACAAAAGTACAATATTTATTTTACACGTTAATTTATTTTGAGTTCTACGCTCTTTCAGAAAAAAGCAGTTTAAAAAATGTTCGGTATTTTTAAATTAATTTTCATCTTGAAGAATTTCTATTATACTGAAAAATTTCAGAAAAATCAAAATACATACTTAGGAAAATGAAGGTTTTGATTAGAAGATTAATAGAAAAAAACAAAATTAAAACTATGCGAAACTCCTCATAAGTTTACTTATTTTTGTTATATAGTTTCTATAATAATTAAAAATGATCCTATAAGTGAAGGATAGTTAGAGTTTTGTTTTTTCTCTTTTCGTAAGATGGGTTTAGTATGCGATATTTTATTAAAAAAATATAATAATAATTCTAAGCATTGTATGAAAACTTTCGAAATATTTGAATGAAAGACAAGTAAACTGCTGAATGTTTTCTTAATTATTTCTTTCGAAAGAAGTGTGGTGCTCACAATTATTGATTTCTTAATGAAATGAATTATAATGTAATAATCTTCTAATTAATGAACGAAATAAATTGAATTTAGTTAAATTGGATAAAAAAAAGAGAGAATTATATCTAAAAATTATTGTCGATTTTCCATTTCAATGAAAATATTAGTATGAACTCATGAACCATTCTCCTTTTTATTATTATTAACTACTGAAAATTATCCGTTAATTAAGAAAGCTATTGGCAAACATCTCAGTTATTTCGAAAGTTTTAAGATTTCGCGTACATTAAATAGGCAAAATTAAGCTGCTGACCTATCTAATAAAATATGGGTTTAACATTTGTTATAAATGCAGAGAAAAATTGATTTAAATTCCTATTCATGTGCGGTGTTCCTAGCGAAAACAATTAAAATGGAAGGTGTAAATGGGACAAACTGGGAGAATGTTTCACATCTATTCACTATTTCCCTATCTAATAACATGGAAAAACCGGTTTTGCTGTGCAGAAAAGACAGCAGGTTAAAATACAGATTTTAACAAGGCGACTTTTTATCTGTACTGCTTTTTACGTGTTAGTGGGTGAAAATATGCAACAAAACAAAAAATTTTAAAAAAAAACTTAGTTTAAAAAAATTTGTGTCATTTAATAAACGTAAGTTCTAAATTTCAATACTAACTAATTTTCGATAATTGCTTCGTTTTTTCCTTTTTTTTAAATCTTTGTCCCATAAAATTCACATCAATTTTTAATAAATTGTACCAAACACCGTAACTAAATCCACCGATCAATTGCTATAGCTTTATCTGCGACCCTTTTTATATAATGTCAAAATATAAAAAATCACCGTTTCTGATAAACTCTTTAACAGTGTTGTTATATTTTAGATGTATTACTCGGATTTGATACATTTTTAATGTCTCTTCAATGAAGTGCCTAATATTGATGTTTCTAAAACTATGTGGGAATCCGTTTGGTTTAAATTACCGTAAGTATAAAATCAAATTTGTCTTAATTAAGTTATAGTAAACGGTATTATTATAATGTAAAGCAGCAGCCTTGAAGTGGAGGTAGAACACTTCACAAGGATTAGAAATAGCATATTGAAATTGCTCTACTCTTGCTTCGATGACGGTAGACATCAGACTTTCAATCGGGAAGAGTTCTCGTGATAGTTGGATTGAGATACCAATTGAAAAAGTTTGGAACTTATTTCTTGTTTATTTTTCAGACTAGTTGCCTATTTGAAACCAAATTATAAAATATTAAATGTCCTTCCTTTAATACAATACCTACTAAAGGCAGGGCATATCATTAAACATAGCATTTTTTAGGTGTTGTCTCCTTTTTAAGAAAATTCTTTGGCAGCCGGGCCTGATTTTATTTCCAACTGTTCCAAAACTGTCAGCAATTCTTTCCAACCTTCATTAAAAATTGTTGAAGCTAAATAAGTTGCAATATCAACTATTTATATTGGAAGCAAAATTAATTATTTTTTTACATAGTTTAAACAAATTATTTAATTAAAATCGATAAAATAAGCATATTTTACGAAAATATTTTGATAGGAGTGAGCAAAACCCATTAATCAATTCAGTGCACAAGTTCACTTGATCAAACATGTCACAATGTATTCCGTGTCACGTTAGACATATTATGTTGTAACTATTACATAGCTACGAAAATCGTTTCATTAACAATCTTAAAATGGATAAACTACCGAAAAAGGATTTTTTTTTCGTTTTTGAAATTTTTTCTGCGTTGTTTTCCTTTAAGATACTACTAATATGTATCAGGATAATGTAAAAAAGTACATATTATAGAGGTTTAAATTTTTCTATTTGCTTAAAATTGGTTCGCTAATGAAATTTGAAATGTGTTACTAAGTTTATTAGGCTAAAAATTATTTTTATAAGTTTAAAGATATAAAATTAGTTAAAGCGTGAAAAATCTGCTCGAAATATTATTGTTTGCCACTGAAAAACCTGATAGTTAATGCTCCTTGCGAATAAAATTTTATTTAAGATGCTATTGCCTCTTGCCCCCCCCCCCACAACGGGCTGCACCAAGAATACTTCACTTTATTTCATTTTATTATAATTTTCTAATAAAATGACATAAATATAAAGTGAAGTATTCTTAATGTATCCAGTTTTGGATCAAAGAGATCACGAACTTTAAAGCTCCAAAATTTCATGACCATTATAATTTTATTATAAAATGAAATAAAATGAAGCATTCTTGATGCTTTCTGTTGTGGAGCAAGGGGGTCACGAGTATTAAGGTTACACAATTTCTTGACCACCATACAATAAGTGTTATCATAACCATAGCTAGTTTAAATCATTTATAAATCATCGTATTCAAAAGACTGATGCAGTATAAAGAGTAAATAACTTGTGTTTTATTTTTAAACGAGTAGTTTTAAATATGAAACGTGTCTAATGATATTCAAAATTGAAATACAACTATAAGTGTAATACAGATAAAAAGTTGAAAGGATTTCTTTTAAAAAAGTTTATACGAGTATAGTGTAATCAATTGTCAAATATCAATTTGACCAATAACATTATCTCCATAATCTGACAAATTATAATAAAAGAACTTGCTACTAACGAGAATGAGATATTCATGCAATTTAACTTATATCCATTATATCTTTTTAGGTGATTTCTATTTTTCTAATAAGAGTTGAAGAAACAAAGGGCTTAAAGACTATTCTCATATTTCTGTGATTATATTAAAATGGGCTTCTAAACAGTGTTGATATTTATTGTCTGTTAATGATGGCACGTGACATTATTTAATACAAATTATAAGAAGATACATGAAACGATTTTAGTTTTAATTTTACGTTTTACTCAATGCATACATTTAATAGAATATAGATGTTTAAATGAGCTAATAAAATTATACTATTTTTAATTGACTGGTGTATTTTCTATGTAACTAATTACATTTTATTAAGAATAACCTTTGATCAAACGTTGTTACTTAAAAAATACTGCAAAATTATGTAATTGCCTTTAAAAAGTTCCAAATAAACTTGATTAATCAAGAGCGAAAAACTATTAAAATTGCAAAAACATTATGCTGGTACACATAATTATTATATTTTAGAAACTTAGGATGCTGTGGTTAAAAAATGATCTTGTCACAAAACTACAATTGTGGCATAAGGTACCTTCACACAATAAATGACGAAACAATAATCACTATGCAAAAATATAACCTAGAGCAGATTATTTTTTTTCTCTGAGAACTAGGGGACAGGAGAATATTTCTTGAATTTTAATGCAATTGTGTAAATCCAGTGTGATACAATTATAGAAGATTTTAAAAAATAGTTCTATCTAACATTATTGAAGACATCTATAAAAATAGACATAATATGACCAAATTTAATAATCAGGGGAAAGATGACTAATAAAAATTTAAATTTATAGGAAGGAAATTATATGAAAAGTATAAATAGACTTGTAACTTTTATAAAAAAATTGAAAATTATTTATAAAAAAATACATTTTTAATGGAATTAAACGCTAATGATGTATAGTCAAATGTCCTTTACAAATGATGTTTAACTTAATAGAAAAAAATAATAAATCCTTCGGTATGAGCAAAGTCTGCATCTTGAGAAAAAGAAGACGGCCCGCTATTTTTATTACCCATGATCTTGGATCGAAGGTCGCAAAGAGTCACTATCAGAACTTAAAACAACCTCCAGGAAGAAGCATAGTCCCAATTAAAATTTAGAAGAATACATAATAAGAAACTGAAGCATTTGCGTATTTCCTCCAATGAAATGTAGTAAAGCAAATGGAATTCATGTTAGAGATGTGAAAATAACAAACCAATGACATTCGATAAATTCATAGATAGGAGGCAACTCTTTAACTTAACCCAGAAGACTCTGCCAAAAAGGAAGTGAGATTGGTGCAACAACTTCAGTGAACATTGACTCAATAAATGATGAACATTGAACATTGACTCAAGATTATTTTTCAAAAGAAATGTATCGAAATCGAGAAAAGAAATCGAGAGTAAAATTAATGCTCAAAGTTTTTATATTCGAAGTAAAAACAAATAAATAGAATAATAAAAAATAATGGATTTAAAATAATAATATTTGTCAGGAAATCATCGGAAAATAAAGAGAATGAAAAATGCTAAATATATTGATTTAATAAATTAATAATTTAGTTTTACACAGGCTCAAAGTCAGGTTTCAAATAAGTCTCTCATAATTCAAAGCATATTTGCTAAGATTGATATTAATATAAATATTTTTTTCGATGTTTCAAACATATTTCTATCTAAACATTTTTGGAAAATATGATCTTTTTTTAATTCTATTTAGAATTGTGTTCCAACACAATCTGCAGTATGAAAATTATATAAAGAAATGGTTTCTATCTGCCATCTTCCCGGAAAATCCTCATTTATAAAATGAAATATTTGGCCGTAAGTCTGCAAAAAAAAATTGTGGGAGTCAGGATTAGGTTTGGTTTGGTTACGAATGCAATTTATGGTCTGTGTTTCATACAAACATACTTGCACGAATGATTGGTCAAACTACTAGCACGCGTTTGCTCAAACTACGCTACTACAATTTAGACCAGAGGGCAGATGGTGGAGACATTCTCTGTAGCCCTGCAGAGAATAGCGCAATCTCCCGAGATTTTTTCCGGCTCAGAAGCCGTCAGGGATTCTGAACTCGACTAAAATACCAGGTGGAAAAAAAATGCAGTCAGTTCAGCACACCGACAGGGTGGCTGGAGATATCAGAAAGTATCTTACAAGGAAATATCCCGACTTTTTTGCGAAAGCTTCGGGATTTGGTCAATTATTTATACTAACCGTGATTTTTTCCGAGGGGTTTGAATAAGGAAATGTTCAAATGGATGAACATTTGCAGCAAGGAGGGACATAGGCGCTTTCTTTCCACGACAAATATATCAAAATGGTCAATATTTATTCTTATCCTATCTTTTTTATATATTTTTTGAATATTCCCACTTACAGTCTCATTTTCCTCCCCAAAGCCTCTGTTTATATTAATCATATTATGCATAAAAGTAAAAGTTAGGCTATGGTACTTAAGCTCTCCCAAGCTTTATAATGATAAGTTGAAAAACACTCGCTCAATTTCAGTCAAAATTTTGGTATTATCATTATTGTTATTATTTTGGGCGATCTGAGAAAAAGGCGTTTGAAAGTAGAAAATAGCTAAAATTTTTATAAAAAAAAAACTATCAATTCAAAATACAATAAAATTTAATTAGAACAAAACAGTTAATTTAATGAATTTTTCAAACAAAATTTAAGGAAGAGAATCTTTCAAACTATCTTCATTGCTTCAATTTTTTTAAGTTTGATAAAATTTTACCTATTTAATTTTGTTAAAAAGAACTTTAGCTGTTAAAATTATCTTACCCACTTGGAAAGGTCCCTAAAATCTCAGAAGAAAGTTGCAAAATGTTCAATGCTTGGATGAGGTTAATTTCTGGACCTATTCCCCTAATCAGCGTTTAGCTAAAATTGAGGCTAAATAATTTTTAATACTTACGAATGTTTGGGGAAATAAGGGACTAAGATTTTGAATGTTCAGAAAGAAAAAAAATTTAAGAAAATTTTGAGGAAAAAAATACGGAAAAAAGCCATCATTTTTAATGATAAGGTTTACAATTTACGAAGAAACTTAACTTAGAGTTGATAAAAATGTAGTTGTTTCAAAATTTTTCGTTCCCCTTTTAGAGGAAATTTAACAATTAAAATGATAATTTTAATATTTCTTAAATCAAATTATTTTCTACAAAAAATGGATATAAAAACGATAGACATAGGGTGTTCCAGAAACGGTTGTTTGATTTAAGAGGTCATTTTGCAAAAAAATTAGTAGCAGCTTGCTGATGGTATCTGAAATCCAATGGTACTAGTATTTTTTGAGACAATATTCTTTAATGTTACCGGATTTTTCCTCAAAAATTTGAGTCAAGTCAAAATTAAAAGAACACACAAATTACACATAAAACTGAATCAAATAAATAGAAAATATTGACAAAATTTGAAAACTTTTTGCAGAATAGATAATAGCAATTTGTATGACCCAATCTTTCGCTTGAAGTTAGGTTGGAATTTGTCAAGCTTAGTAAAGCATTAAAAAGGTTTATAATCTTGTTTGTCTCGCTTTGCAAGTGGTCACTTGAGGTGTCTCTCGTTTGCTCAGGGGCAAAAGACTTTTGGACTTTGCACTAAATGTAGGACTGCTCAGGCTTCGCCCGAGCATATTCTAAGCTGTATCGATTTTAAGATCGACGAGGTTTTTTCAAAACCTCAACTGTTATTAGACTTTATGGACATTTTTGGACTTATGGAATTGGTCTAATTAGGATGGACCTCTTGGGGATTAGAAACAACAACAGGTTTATAATTTTTGTAAATCTGCATTAATTTTTATATTTTATTTTCTTTCCAAATTAATATAACACATTTTAGTAATGAATTCAAACAATTTTTAATATGGTGTTAGTTGCTTAGTCATTGTTCTAAAACGCATCAAGCAAGAATATAAATCTTTTTGATTAATATAGTATTTAAAATGCTTTAGTCTCGAAATCTCCATTCGCGTCCATGAAATGTTAAGTCTTACCTTTCAAGGGTATTTTTTTAAATTTACTTTAATCAATTTGTTTTTAAGTAACATTAATGCATCGGTGAATATTCAAAGTCAATTAGATTTCGAAGATACATCAATTGAAATCAAACAGATTTAAATGAATGTACTTACGTATTTTTCTAAAGCCTAAATAAACTTTAAAATAATGCACTATTTAAGAAATGTGAAGTAGAAATTTTACAAGAATAGTTTTTCCGAAAGAATTTGAGCTCCTACAGACTTATATTTTTCTCCTTTAAACTATTTGTTTTCTTCGCACATTCTTCTTAAAAATGCAGCACACTTTTCTTTCTTATTTCAAAAATTCCAGGACTCTACTTAAGCCGAGTGGAACAAAGTGGGTCTGTAATGAAAAGAAAGGCAAAAAACGCCAGTTGTACTTACTATTTTCCCCGTTGTTTGCTATTAATATGGATTGGGAAAAGCTTTTAGCGAAAACTTTTGGAAAGCGTTTGGTATTGTGAAATAAGAAAATTCGGTAAAAATAAAATAGTTTGATATGGGAAACATAACAAAAATTGAAAAATAATGATAAATGAGACGAGAATAAAACTTTGAAAACATCCTGTTGGGGAAAAAAAAACCGTTGTGTAAGCATATATTTTCGTGGTTTTTCGGGGAAAAAGTAAGATATATTTCGTATAGTTAAAAACATGTCATGATGCATTTTAAAGCTGTCAGCAAAATGAAATGCATTTGTAAATTGAGAAGCATCTTCATTCAGATTCCTAAAAAATTGTAGTAAAATATTTCTTGCTACGAATTATGAATCGCTGCGTTATTTTTCATGATAAAATAGTTCTAGTTGTGGTATATGGGGCTTTTTGCAAATGTTCAATGAACTTTGAGGCAACTATTAATGTGTTCAGTAATGTATCCTTTATGGTAATGTTGGGGCAGTCTAGGAAGTACTCCAGAGATGTCGGGATGTTGCTGCTAGAGCATGGTGGCAGAGTTTTTATTCCATTTTTAAATCTCATGCTCCTGAGGTGAACAGTTCTGAATCTATAAAGCATTGTCAAATAGTTCTAGTTTTCACTTTTTTAAAAAAAATAATTGTTAAAATTAGGAATAATAAATGGAGAATATAGGCTGAGCATTTTATTCCCTTGCACTGTCCACTTGAATTTAAGCAATAAAGTAAATTCTAATTTTCAAATTCTATTTCCTCTATTAAGGCATGCTGAAGGAGTA